AACCTTTTTTTTTTTTTCCCCCATAAGAAATACTGTCTGGGCAGAACTGGAGGATTTTGTCTGTTTGTCTGGGATTTTGAGACATCTGGAAGTCTGGGCAGCCAGCTAATGAGCATGCACTGATGAACTCCGCAGCGCACAGCGAGTCCAGCCCATCCACAGAAATGCCAGACTTCTGCATGTGCTCTGAGGCCACATCCCGTGTGTTCAAAACAACGCAGAGGCCTCCTCGACATGCTTGATCGGCCGTCATGGATGAGACCCGATACAACAGGGAGCCAGAGGGAGTTCACCCACAGTGCTGTGTCTGCCGTGGTGCCTGTGGGCGTGTGTATAACTACATTTAAAATAGAATTTCTGCCCTAGAAGTCCTTTATGAAAATACGATGTTCCTAGCGTGGAAGTGAGCTAACCCTCCTCCTAATTTTAGAATAGTGCATGCCCAGTACTAGAAAAATGCTGTGCTAGAAACACTCTATATTTGCATCTGTAATGCCGCCTTCTTTACTAGCATTTCTCATTGCTGACTCTCGTCTCAGCTTCTTATTTTCCCATCTGACAGCGATCAATACTATTTCCCTTGAATTAGCTAGTTTTTCATTAATGATGTAATACCAACCAAAGAAGAAGGGAAGGCAGAGAGTAAAAAAATGATACAACTTCTTCTCCAGAAGAAGGAAGCATTGACCGGAATGCATTGAGGAAATATAATGAGAGGTGATGGAGGAAAATAAGGGAAGGCAGATTTCCTCACAAGGAGGTTTTAAGTAGAGTCTGGCAGTCATCTCCCAAAGGAAGTAGTGGAAGTCTGGTCACTTAAATCAATTAAAACTAACCAGAGCATTGCACTCCATAGGGCTCTGTAAGGAGGAAAGCAGTGTCAGACTGAACTAAAGTATATTTTGCATGCTTATTTTCTACAGGACTGCTGTCTGTATTTTGCCGGTAAATTCAATATGGCTAATGCTGATTAACAACTCTCTTGGTGGTGATTATATCATTGCATTATTTCCAGCCTGTTCCTCAGTATCATAAACTCATGAGGGTACGGACATACAAAACACATCCCCTGGCTTGGCTAGCTCAATCTGAAAGGCAAATGTCAGATAAAGGGCTGGAGAACTTTCTTTCTTTCACCTTAGCAGAGGTCAGGCTTGTTATTGCCAAAACGCTGAATTGACTTAGACTTCCATAGCACATGCTGAGAGCACGGTGTACCTGGGGCAGCACGGCAGAGGCAGGAGCTGCACGCGGACCCCCAGTGCTTGAACCCTTGGACTGCTGTAGGGCAAGAAGATGTGCCCAGTGGCTTAGGTAGGGCTGCAGTACACCTGTCCGCTGGCTGCTAGGTGTGCAGAAGGGTTTTAATGCATGCAAGACTAGCATGGGATAGGAGCAAGACAAAATAAAATGATTAATCCTTAGATTTGGTGGGGTGCTTGGCATGTTTCAAGTACACAAGAGAAGTCCTCTCCTGGCCTGCCTGGAAAGATAAGGGAAAGCAAGCATACAAGAAGCTGAGAACTTTGCTTGCTTTTCTTGTCTGTGTGGGCATTGTTGGTTGGTATGTACGATTTACCTTTTCTCTGCCTGGTTTCCTTGTAGCCAGTCAATTCCATTTAAACAACAGAAGTGGGTGGAAATTGGAATAAGGCAAATGATTGGAGGGCGGGGAAGCAGGGACTTGGCATATAAACTTGGACAAGGTGCCCAGTGAAGGTTCCCACAAATTGACCTGCCTACTTAAACATTAATTTGCATGAAAAATAAGGTTTAAAAGCAAACAAAGCTTGGACATATGGTATCTCATTTACAGTATGTGAAAAAAATAAACTGAGATTGTCATTGGCATGTGTTTTACCCATCTCACGTGTAAATGGATACTGTTCTATCAGAAAAATTATGTTTCCTTCTTCAAACACAGATCAACTTGGTTTCACTGTTTTCACTAGGATGCATCAGTCAGATCAGTTCATTTTAAAAGACTGTTCTTACCTCTTCCTACAGAAGTGTGTGTGTGATGGCAATACACACGGCTTTGAAGGCTTTTCTTCCCCAGTGTGCAGTGCTCATAGTTACGCTCCACCATCTCAATTCCAGCCTTCTTGCCAGAATGCATCAGATGGGGGCAGTCCCAAAGCTGGTGGGGCTGAGGCAGGGGACCCGCCATGGGAGCCAAATCAATATTTAGACAGCTTCAGGCAACAGAGGTTGTGCTGGCTTTCACACTTGGCAGCAAGATTCGCATCCGCTTGTTACCAGAGTTATTGTTTGTGCAGTTTCAGGCATTGGCACTTGAGGGATTCCTTCCTGAGGGCAATGACAAGCACTGGGTGCCTGGAAATAAACTTTCCCCCCTCTGGATCTGAAGATTGTGAGAGTGAGGGAAGTTGCATCATAGGGTAAGATCTCATAAGGAAGTCAAGGCGCACGTTTGACCAGCGTTTTCATCGTCCTTCACTTGAGGCATCTGCTGGGCATCGTGGCGAGCCCACAGCAGTCTCAGGCTCTGCTTCCAATACATCCAGCGCAGAGCAGCTGCAACAGCTGCCTTGCTGCTGTTTGTTATCATGGTGGTTTATGGGGAGCAAAAACCTGAGTCAGCATGGGAGACAGCCTTGCTGTGTGGTGGTGTGAGTCAGCCCCAGGCTCTGCAGAGTGCCTGCACTGTCCGGGCAGGCAGGCAGGTGAAACCGTGGCCCAGCGCAGAAAATGAGTTTAATTTGCTTTCCAGTCGTTCCACCTAGTGGCCAAGTGACACAACTAGCAGGAGAGCTGGGTTTGTGCTCCAGAGTCCCTCCTCATCAAAAGGGACCCAAAAACCCCAGACGGTATTTATGGCTGCTCCTATGAACCTCTGCTGCTGCGGAGCTTACAAGATGTGTAGGAATATGTAAGCCCCAACCCTGAAGATCTTATCAAAGAGAAACATCAGCCTGCAAGTAGCTCATTAAGTTCCCGAGCAATTTTGTTAATCATTCTGCATAGATAAAATGCAGATAGGCCTTTAGTGAGCTGATAATCTAACAAATAGGCAGAAAGTGTAACACTGATAAAGCAGAGATCGGTTTAATAGCCAGCTGTAAATCTAGGTAATTCTGTACCAGAGGCGTATTGTAAAACAGGAATGTGCAAGTGCGTAAGTATGTGCATGAAAATGCACTGTTTCTTAAAATAGCAGATACAGCAGTAATATTATGCATGGAAAAGCTATTGGGAGAAATTTGAGAGGTGTTTTAAAATATTTTTCTCTCCATCAAAGTCTGCACCACTTGTGGTATCTTCATAATCCAGCATCACAAGGGCAGATCTATGAATAACAAAGGCTTGTTTCTGGAAGTCAGGATTTTCTATAAAAATCTGTAAGCTCTGCCACTGGTCCTGAGGCAGTGTAGGGAGTTTATAGGCTTTTCATTGGGATGAACCAAAATATCCACTCATATTTATGCTAATCACGAATAGGACCATCACAAATTCTTGGGCTGATGTTTCATCGACCTCTTGAGCAGCCTCTTGCTCAGTGGCTTTAATTCAATTGAAAGGACTGGGAAAAGCATCTCACCTTCAGGGTATCCCATACCTACTGGATAGGATATCCTGAGGAGCTGGGAAATGTGAGTTTGAATCCCCAAAGCCTAGGGAAGGTACCTGTTCTCCAGGCATCTAGATGCCTTTCCTTGGTATGCAAAGCACAGGGAACTCAGAATACCACTTGCAAGCAAGGCAAGAAGTTGTCTTGGTGAATCAAGACTGAAGTGACTTGCCAGGGTCATGTAGAAGGTGTTTTGTGCAATGGGAAATTGAGCTGTGGTCTCCCAAATCTCAGTTTAGTGGTCAAATCACTGAATCTCCTTCTTGTAGTGAAATCTTTATCCTTGATGATGAGCCCTGGTTTTGAAACAGCCTCTCACTGCTTCATGAAGAATAGAGTTTTTCCAGTACCTTTTTTCCTGCCCATTGGGGAAAAAAATGCAGCAGAAATTAGTGCCAGTGCATTTTTCGTTAAACAACATACAATATCTGTAGTTTACGATGCAGCTTAGCAAGTTATTTGATAGTTATGTGTGAAGATATCACTTGAAAAATCTGGGGGAGAAAATGTGTATTTTTTAATATATGATATGTGAATGTAAAATATAGACAGTATGATGAGGGAAAAAAGGGACAAGTAGTGGTACATAACTCAGACCTGAAACAGCTGGTTGGAGATCACTGTCTTAGAAACAGTTGTTACTCTTTCTGCTAAGAAAATTAAGTACTGAGATGGGACTCAGAGTGATTTGTATCACTTGAATCACTTGAACTATGAATATGGATTTCTTTCCTGTTAGCTGTACCTTAGACTCACTAAAATCAGGAACAGTATGAGGAGAATAATCTCCATGGGCTGCAGAAAAAAGCTGTGCAGTCAGTACTAACCTATTACTTATTCAGCAATGGCTTGCAAAAATTTGAGAAGAAAAGAAGAAAACAGTTTGCTTTTGAAAGAGGCATAAAGATATTTTCTGTTGAATTTTGTTATGATGTTAAATGTTTCCTTCCCAAAACACCTTGGGGATTTAAATGGTAACTTAAACTTGAAACCACTCTTCGCCAGAGCTTCCGTCAGAGCAGAAGAATCAAAATTGAATTAGTGCTTCCATGGTAGTCTGCTGCATCACACTTAAAATAAGTTCCATCCAAGAATTAGCAGTGTCTACACCACTCTGTTTTTTTCAGTCTTTTATTAGAGCAGGGGCTTAGTTCATAGGTCTTTAAGGTATTTGGGAAGAATAGTGCTCAGCTCAACCTGCGGAATGATGTACAGGAGCAACATAAAGGGAGCAGGTCAAGTTACTGGATGTAGCATCGTTGCTGGTGTGATAGAAGAGTGACTGGTACTGAGCAGTATTTACTCCTGGATGCTAGGTCTGTTAGGTTATCTAACTACACAATGAAGAACTTGGGATGATGGCAAGAGCTGATGGTAACACTGGCAATTTCCCTCTCTTCTTTTGCAGGTCACTGTCAGGGGATTTGGTCCGTTGTTACAGTTTGCCTACACTGCTAAGCTGTTACTCAGCAGAGAAAACATCCAGGAGGTCATCCACTGCGCTGAATTCCTGCGCATGCACAACCTGGAGGACTCCTGCTTCAGCTTCCTTCAGACGCAACTGCTGAACAATGAAGATGGCCTATTCCTGTGCAAAAAAGATACCACCTGTCAGCGCATGCACGATGAGGAGAACTCGGATGGAGATGAGGAGGAGACGATGGAATCAGAGACGTCAAAAATATCTTGCCCAAGAGAGAGGATGCACCAAGAGCCCTTCAATTTTGAAACCACTGTTGCTGGAGCAGACAAAGGTGAAGGGATGCTGCCTGACTCTGACATCCTGAGAGACAGCAAGGACAATTTGGACAAAGATGCAGTAACACGGTACCCCAGATACAAGAAATACCAGCTTGCTTGTACCAAGAATGTCTACAACACATCACACATCAGTACCTCAGGTTTTGCAAGCACATTCAGCGAAGAGAGCTCTGGAAACGGCCTCAAATCAGGACTTGCAATGGGACAGATAAAAAGCGAGCCTCAGAATGAAGAGAACGATGAAGAAAGCATCACACTTTGCCTGTCTGGAGATGAACCTGACATCAGGGATAAAGAAGGGGATGTTGAAATGGACAGAAAACAGCCAAGCCCCACTTGCATTGACAGGCCAAAAAGTGGGTCCTCTCCTTCTTGTTTGCGGTCTTTCTTCAACAGAACAAAAAGCATAGATTTGGTTGGCTTCCCCAGCACTTCCCAGCAGCACTTTGGCAGGAGTCCAGCATGCCCTTTTGAAAAAGGGACAACTCAGGGTGACCACAAAACTGATTACGTCCCTTTCACAGGGAACTACGGACAGTCCCATGCCATGCAGAAGGATGCTACCAACTTCACAGTGGGATCACCACTCAGGGGGCCCGGCTTTGAAACTCTCTGTAAGCAAGAAGGAGAACTGGACAGGAGGAGTGTTATATTCTCTTCAAACGCTTGTGACCAAGTAAACACTTCGGTGCATTCATATTCTGGTGTGAGCAGCTTGGACAAAGACCTCACTGAGACTGTGCCAAAGGGTCTGTGGGCTGGCGGTAGCCAGTCTCTCCCCAGCTCTCAGACCTATTCGCACAGCGGGCTGACAGCTGATCACTTGCCGGGAAGGATGCGGCCGAACACCAGCTGTCCAGTGCCAATTAAAGTTTGCCCTCGCTCTCCTCCTTTGGAAACCAGAACCAGGACCTCCAGCTCGTGCTCTTCCTACTCGTACGCAGAGGACGGCAGCGGCGGCTCTCCCTGCAGTCTGCGTCTTTGTGAGCTCTCCTCTTCCCCTTGCTCCCAAGGCCCCCGATTCCTGGCGCCTGAGCACCAGGAGCCCGGTGTAGTGGGGGATGGATTGTACAACCCGGTCCGAGCCCAGATTAAATGTGAGCCATCCTATGGAACAAACTCCAGCGATGAGTCTGGGTCATTCTCAGAAGCAGACAGTGAATCATGTCCTGTGCAAGACAGAGGGCATGAGGTAGGGATTTAAGATAAGTACATATATCGCAGTTGTTGTGACCCAATTGATCACTCCTTGATTCTCTCAAATGCTTTGTCATTTCCCCCATGCTTGCTTTGTTTATAGGGGCAAAGAGTAACTTCTGTTTACTCCCTTGTTAGTTGAGCGTGCATGGTTGACTTCAGGTAAATAGGGCTGACCTATAGGCTTGACCTCGGAGGTATTCAGTGCTTACCAGAATTTGGATATGGGACAATAGCAAACTGCTGAACGATGAGAGTGTGGTGGTGTGCTTAGGAGTCTGCTGGCAGTGTCCTGTCCTCCTCCCTCCCTCACCTGCCTGTGCAGCCCAAAGCACCATTCCTCATCCTTAACTTGTGGACATGGTTCCAGCTCTGCTTGTTATTGCTGCTGGTGTGTTTGAGCATCTTCAAGCCATGCTTTCGCTGACACCAAGGGTCGGGCAGCCGGCTCAAAGAGCCCCTGCTGCATATTGCTAACAGCCCAGGTGGAGGAGGCAGGCAGAGTGGGAGGAGAAAGAGGGTGTGAAATGACTTGAACAGTTGCACAGCTGGCCACCCTCGGCTGTGGGAATGGTATTCAAGTCATCTTCCCTCTCTGTGTGTGTTTGTATGTGTGTGTGTGTGTGTGACGCGTGCAGGTAATGGGTTTTGCCTCTGTTAAGTGACAACTGAGATGATGTTTCCTGCCTGTGACCCCACTTCGTTTGGCGCTGAACTCTAGCAGTCATTGCATAAATGGTTTCAAAGAGAAGTTCTCCTTTCATTTCCAGGCCTGTTAGAATGGCAGGAAGACAGTCTGGGGCTGCAGAGCAAGCTGTGAATTTCCATGCAGCTCTCCTGCGAGAGGGGGGAGAGAGAGGGCCCATGCTAAAACTAGAGATAGGCCAGCTGGAGATGCTGTGGTGATACCTGGCTAACCATGATTGAATAAACTGCCTGTGTGAATTCACTAGCTCGAGGGAAGACCTGAATCATGGATATGTGTTGTGGAGCCCATAAACTGAAAAGAGACTGGATGTTTTAATAGAGTTTCATTAGGAAACTGCGCGACCTGGAGAGCATCTGGGTGAAATTGCGTATCTGGCTCTTCTGGTAATGCTGAAATGCTCCACTGACAGCTTGTGCTTCAGCGTGGGGAGCAGTGAGTGCAAGTCTGGGGAGTTCACGTGCTGTGAGTGCCCAGTTCAGAACCAGGTGGGCTTAGTTGCAGGCTAGGGATGAAGAGAGTGAACTTTGTTTTATCCTTCAATCCTTATTCCAGCTACATCCCAGGCTCTGAAAGATACCTTTCAGGCAGATGTGGCTGGTTCCTTTCGTTGATTGCTTAGCTCTGAGGAAGGGCTGGAGAGCCTGGAGAGCCTCTGGTCTCCTAATCCTTGTCATGCTGTACCCGTGGTTTTGAGAGGACAGTTCTTGTTTGTCCCCATGCCCTGAGCTGGGGACAATGCAGAAGGCAGAGGAGTCTCCCTGGAAGGCTGCCTGCAACACTGTGTGTAGGACCTCATTTGGGAAGCCCTGCAGCAGAACTGCTCTTCTTGGACATACCAAGGTTACTCGGTGAAGTCCTGCCTTCACAAGGAGCGGAAGGAAGTGGGACCGAGGGGAACATTGGATCTCCACCCCCAAGTGCTGCTTGCTCAGCAAGGGCTAATGCGCAGCATGAGGCAGCAAAGAGGGCGGGAGGTTAGCCTTTTGGGGTTTGATGATTAATTAGCTGTCGTAATTGGCTAATTGTGTGGAGATGCGGCAGCAGAAATGAGCCTGGAAGAGTCAAATGAGAAGGTTATAGGGGACTGGTGGTGGTTTCCCGAAAAAAACTGTGTGAATGTGTGCAGGAGACCGTGGATGAGAGGGGGGACATTCGCGAGACAAGCAAACGCGTGGGCTGTGGGAGGCCACCTTGGTGCGCCACTGGCAGGCAAACCTGTCTGGCCCTGGGACAGAGCTGGGAAGGGTTTGCTCCACTCCTGGTTTTGCTGCTGGTTTTCTCTTGGGAAGATGTTCTGCACCATGCTGAGCAAGTTTTCTCCCTGGGACTGCTGATAAGGCTTTTTCTTTTTTTTGCAGGGCATTTTGATTAGGACTACCAGGCATTAAAAATGTGGTGAGGAAATTAATGCTCCGTGAGGTTGCACTGCACTATCCTGATCAGGCCAAGGGTAAATAGATCACACTAGTGCTTCAGTACAGATTTTGTCTGAAAAATTAATTTGTAAAGGTTGTTACCGATACAAGAAAGGACACTGCAGCCTCATTAAACAATACGATGACTTGGGGTGTGTATCCTGCAAGATCTGCTGCTGTGGAAACCTCAGTGAAGAATATGTTAAACCAGGCAGTAGAAGGTATCTAATAACAGCAGGAAGTTCTTGTGTAAGTCTCTCTACCTACTTTTAGCAGTTTGGCTGCCATTAAAACAGCAGGAGAAACTCACAGCAGTCTGAAATGGACTGCCTTCTGTCCTTCACCTCCCTCCAAGCTGCATGGGAATCTTTCTCCATTCCCGAAATTGTCAGTTTGCCCTTGCTGTCCTGATGACTTCCCAGATGGGTCCCTTGCCCCCTGCCATATCAGATCACACAGTGTTTGCTGGGCTTCTCTTCAAAAAGCACCTGATAAGATATCTGGGGCGTGCAGGCTTTCACCCCTCCAGAGATCCACTGTGGAGGTTCTGCTGCGGGTGGGCTTTTGTTTGGGTAGGACGGCCTGATGGGAATAAGCCTGATGGACTCTGACCCTGAGTTATCTCATGGGGCTGCTCAGTTCCCCTGGAATTTGGACCTTGTTGGTCTTGATTTGGGTCCCGGAGTGCTGTCGGTGCCAGAATTAATGTCAGAAAACATCATTTGCTGGTGTATTGATCCTGTAAGAAGTAGGTGAAAGGTTTCTTCTCTCTGCTTTTTTGGGGCACTCTGCTTTCCTGCAGATGGATGCCTTTCAGGAACACATGCCCAAGTTGTTCAAGGCCAAAAGTGAGGCGCTAGAGTTCGGCATGACTGTCATGTGAGTGAAGGTGACCCCACTCTGTGGCCAGTCTCCCTGTCACATAGTGGGTGCAGACTACAGTCATGAGTGTCAGAGGAAGCAGCAGTCCCCATAACATACCCGGTGGTAAATCCTCTCCGGAATATCTCTGCCTTTCATTTTCCTTCCTATTAAGGGAACCATCCAGAATCTTCTGAGTCAGATTTCCCTTTCTTAAGGCTTCATGATAGAAGAAGCAAGTGCATTGTGGGGTGTCCCCATGTTATGGAGTTGCAGGACCAGAGCTGTTACTTGAGCTGCTGGGACTTTACAGAAACGTTTAACAGTTTGTGTTGCTCTTTTCACCCAGCTCCCTCAGGCCTCCACAGGTTGTTAAAAATCAATTATTGGGATATAATACTAGAGAAAAGACTTACACTCGTGCTTGCAGGCAGTTTCTGACAATCCTGCTTAAAATAGCAACAACAAAACAATAAGCCCTGAAATAATGAATTGTTGAGAAGGAAGTAGTCTGTCAATCTGTTAACCTACTTAGGAACAGAAACTTCATCACTGCCTACTTTTCTTGATACTCCTTTTCTTCAGCAAGTGTCTATGGGTTTTTTTCTGCTGGGAAACTTGTAAAAAATAATATGCTACTAAACCAGTTAAAAAGAAATCTCAGCTCAGTCTATTTTGATGAGTGAGTTTTCTTAGGAAAAGAATAAACAAGGGTAGGAGGAGGTAAGAGGTGGAGTTTTCCAAGAACTATTACTATCTAGAGAATTGCATTCAATGTGTCTTTCATTTATAGTTCAAAATAATTTCCCGCCTGGGGGTTGGTGACTCACTTTTCAAAGGAAATTTTCATAAAGGCACAGCTAATGCAATTGGACAATTGAGGGTACTGTAGGCAAATAACCTTCAGTGAGAGTCCAGACCCCCTCCATGTTAAGTGACAGGCAGACACCCTTTCTCTGTTCATCTGCTGATGCTTAGCAAAGTACTAGAAGTCAGAGCCCCAGTAAAAGAGGGTAAACCAAAGCTGCTCTACCAGAAATCTACTGGAGCTGTACCAAATTACCTAAGCAGAGTCGTCTTCGCTGTTTAGTACTTCTGCTTGGTGAAGAGTATTGCGTAGAAAGGACAACCAAGAAAAATACATGTTAAGGTGTTAACTTGCTTTTATATGTAGTCCCTCCCCAGAATTTAGTGATCGGTCAGCCCAGATTTCCTGATCTTGCAAGGTTTACAAATTTGAAAATGTGAAAGTTACTCCCCACATTCTTTTCTGGTGGATGTTCTCCTGACCAGGATCCTCAGCAGCATCAGCAGATCACTGGGAATTGTGTTTGGCAACATCTGGTTAAATGGAGTCTTGTCAAACATCGGTCTTGAAAGATAAATTTCATGGCAGTTTTGTTTTCTTTCCTCTCTTCAGTAGGAGTGGTATCCAGGCAGGTAGCAGAGAATTACTGGATTACAACAACAGTAAGAGTTTTCCATTACAAGCTTGAAATTTCAGGAAGGTCATTTTAAACACTGTATTATTTCATTGCAGCCTACAATCAATTCTGTTATGACCAGAGGTGAGGACCTTGCTGGAGCTCATGAAGGACTGTCCAGTTCCTGATTTTTTTCTGCAAAAGCAGATTTTTCAGAGGAATACTGCACTTTATCCCCCCTCATTTCACTGCCTGATCTGCCTTTCTCAAATGCACCTACGGCTTCTGTCAGGGTTTCTGTGCTATCCCTGGTTTCAGAAAAGCCTGTTAATGGGCAGGAGTATTGTGTTGTTGTGCCCTTTGAAGGGCTGAATGCTGGGGACACTGCACAGGAGGAGGTCAGCCCAGTGTTTTAAGCCCCAGCCGTGTGTGATCTGAATACAAGTCCAAGTCATGGGCTAAAGGATGAGAACTCCGTTCACCTCTCTTGACTGTTGGGTTAAAGCCCTCAGCCATGGGACTAGCCCCTTACCCCAGTTCTGTGAAGCAGGTGGCAAATGAAAAGGTTACCCAGGCTGCCTCCACTAAGTGCATATCAGTGCCCTCTCAGGCAGCATTTTCTGACCCAAACTCCTCTTGTGGCCCTCAGGAGGTTTGGCTGAAGTTGACGTTGGGCAACTACACGGCCAGCGGTTATGTTGTGGCAAAGAGGACTGTTTGCAGTGGAACCTGCTGATCAAGGCCATTTCGGACCTGGTTTGCTGACACAATGGTAGATCTTCACTGCCTGGGCTCCCCTCTTTCAGTCTTCTGTCATCTCGTTGTGTTGGGCACCTGAAAAGAAGAGGTTTTTTGAAGGCTTTACTTATGCCGGTAGACAGCAGGGTGAGGAAACCGGTGAGAGTGCATCCTGCCTGTCCTCTCTCTTACACCAAGTGTGGCCCATTGGCTTTATGCTTCTTAGATAGCCTCTGTCCAAGTGAAATCATGTGGGTCCCTATTCTGTGGGACCACAGGTGGTGCCTGAAATAGTGTGTAGGCAATCAAGCCCCTAACAAAAGGTGGACACACCTCAGTTCCTGTCCTGGGATGAATTTCTTCATGAGCATTTGTGGAAGACAGACTTGCACGCTAAGGAAGATACTAGGAAAAGGGTCATTAATGTGTTGGGCACTTCTGTGTGAAGCAAATTACCCCTTTCTACATCAAAAAAGCATTGTTATGATTCAGCCCCTGTGCTAGATTGCTTGGGTGTGTCTTGAGAGCTTTCCAAGGGCTGTGCAATTTTAAGTGTCAGAGGCTTTCAATAACTCTGGCTTTGAATTTAAGGACATTAAGGCAACAGTTTTACAAAACTATGGAGGAACTAAACAAGATTTTGAACTAGTTATAAAGGTCAAGCCGGTACCTTGAGTTCCACCCTCTCATGCCATTACGTAATGTTTGCTTTTTCTTATAAATAATACATGAATCTTTTTTCATTACTGTGATATTAAACCACGCTTGGGAAGTTCACTGTTTTTACTAGCACTTGGCAGCTTAAGGAAGGTGATGCTGAAATTTAGATACAAAGGAAGAGCAAAAGATGTTCTTCTAATATTAATCATGTGATAAGGAAATTCCCAACACTTGTCATTTATGTTTTAATGTGAATATGGGGCCTTGGTCCTTTCCTTTCTTCCAGAGAAAAAGAGAGGGGAGAGAGGGGCAGCAGCAGTAACTAGTACAATATATGAGCGACACAGCAGTAACTGGCATATGATTCAAGCTGGCACTAACTTGTGAAGCTTGAAGGAATTAATTGGTTATATATGGGCCTTTTATGTGTTGAGTCAATGGCTGTCCCTGCTGCTGTTACTTAGCCAGTCAAAGCAATGCCATTTACACTGGCATCCTAATGCTAATACAGGAGGAAAAAATGCCACAAAATCATAAACAAGTTTTCGTTTTTCACCAGAGTGGGTTGTCTGTCCTCTCAGGGGTGCATCAGCCAGAGTTGGGGGCAATAGAGGCTGCAGCAGTGGTGGAAAGTGCTAGTTTATTTGTTGTGTGGTGGAAACAGAGCTTCTGCTGTTGGTGTAAAAATGCATGGAAAGAGTAATGGTGCTGATAGGGATGATTTTAGAGCTCTGTGAGGTTAGCTCTGGCTGGAATAACTCCTAAAAGGAGTAGGGATCCTGCTTACATTTCTAATTTGAAATAGTCCAAATGAAAGAGTATACAGTAATTTCCTGTATAAAATTCATAGTTATTAAAAAGAAAACTTTACAAGAGAACGTACTTCCCGGGTTTTCCTTACACACCTTGGAAAAGATTGACTGTCCGTTTTCAGACACCTGAGGTAAGGTTTCTCTCACCTACCTTAGCTTCTGTAAGATGCAGCATCTTTTCTAAGTCTCATCCCCACTCCTTCTGCAGCCAGGAGGAGGGAGAAGCCGTGTGGGATGCATTGCCATCCAAAGGCCTCTCTGTTCTTGACGCCAGCAGCAGGGACCTGGACACTTAGTCCCAGCCCATCATTTCAGGTGGCTCTCAAGTGTGTCAGATGAATCCCACCCATGACACAGCCATCGGCTCTTGCAAATTGACTTACCTCTCTGTTGTGACAAATACCAGCTGAGAATCTTGCCCGGTGCCGATGTAAAACACCACCGGTCTCTCACTGCAGCAGTACCCTGGCGCAGTTATTCACTGTGTCTGTGCCAAAGGCTTGGTGTTTTTTTTTTCAGTTGACAGCTAATTGCGGAGAGGGAGACAGGCAATAAAAATGCTGTGAATGGTGAAGGAAATGAGTCTGACTCACTTCCACTCTCCCTTTCACGTTTTTAATCCTGCTCAGTGCTGCCTATGACAGGAGTGGGATTATGCTGGGTTTACTGATAGCAGTCTCTGGCCTGCTGTGTAGATGGTTTTATTTTCAATCTGTTGTTTTTTTTTTTTTTTTTATGAATCTGTTTCTATTTATTTTCACATTTCCCTGCAGTGACTTCTACCTGACAGATTTAAGTTGCTTCCCTTTCATTCCCTTTCCAGCTGCAAGCCCATCTCCTTGCAAAAGTAAATATGTTTTGAAAGGAAGAGGGAGGGAGAAATAAAGTTAACATTGCTTTCCGCTTTGGACTTATGAAAATAAGGAAAAACCAGGAATGTGAAAGGACTGTTTTTGCAGTGAAACTGTGGTGTCTTTCAGAGGAAAGCACAGGCTGTTTTCATTTTCAGGCCCTGGTTGAAGCTTGAGAGAAAAGCAGGTGACACCGAGTTTATGTTGACCGTCCAAAGGCTAGGGAGGGGAAATCGAACAGGTTTCATGTCATTAGTTAGCAGTCTGTAAACAAGGTAGTCCACATCATCGTGCCTAAGGTCAGCCTTTGTGTGTACAAGCAGGGATTTGGGGGGGGATTGGAGCAGTGTTTGGTGTTGGTTGCTGGTTTAAATTGACCTGTCAGGTAGTGTGTTACGAAGCAGTGCCCAGACACACGGGGCAGAGGGACAATATTCCGGGCATGAAACTGTCTGAAAAGATGCAGTAGGTGTTTGCACTGAACTTCACGTGGCCCAGGCTTGGAGGTGCACAGAGCAGTGATGGAAGAGCGCAAGAAAACACGAGCTCATAAACAAGGCGAGGAGCTGGTTACCGGCAGGTCTGGGTACCTGGTGAGGGTCCGTGACTGTCAATGCCAGAGGCCACCACTGTGTGTTTGTGTACATGTGTCCTCAGCAAACTGTTCTGCATATACAAACTCGGCTCTTCAATGAAAATAACTGATTTTTAAACTGTGCTGTTATTTTCTTTATCTGCAAATAATTGAAGTGCACTGTTTGAAGACGGTAACCACATTTTAAATATCAAAAGAACCTTTTCAACCCCTATCTTTTGCTTGGCTGGAGCAATATATGTTGGACATTCTTTGCTAGCCTGAGTGTGTAAAAGTCTTCCTGTTCGAGAGGTCAGATTGTACCGAATGGGGACAGAAATGTAAATATTTACTGCCATCTTTTGGGCAGTGTGGGTATGACTCAAAAAAAGAAGGGGGGTCAATCGAGTTAGTCATCCTCTCCTTCATTCAGCTTTGTCCACTGATTCTTATTTGACGGCCAGACACAGCAGTCCACCGAGCAATGGTATTTTTTTGATAGTCATGTTATCAGTCTCAAGCTACAAGCTACTTTGATTTGAGAAAGCTGATAGGTTTGGGGAAAAAGAGCTAACAGAAGTCATCCACCATTCTCCAGGTTTTGAGACATCATGCATTCATCGCTTCAAGCTGCCAGGAGCTTTGTGTTTTGCTTTGCTTTAAGGCATAATTGGTAGGAACTGGAGAGATGGGTGGAATTCTTGAAGACAGAATCCGGAGCTACTGTCGCATGGTATACGGTCAAAACAGCATGGCAGTTCATAGCCCAAAGGAAAAATGTTTCACTACAAATAACTGAGGTTTTAGACTGTTTGGGTGTTTTTTTCAATAAATGCAGCTTGGGTGCTGTTCAATCTACAAAAGTATTAGAATGTCAGCAAATACTGGTTTATTTCAAAATGTATACATTTTAGCAGAGTAGGATATGCCCTGTCACACTCCTGACCCTTTCTTCATATGTGGTGTACTTCTCAGTTGCAATGTTGATTAGGCCACCTTTCCTAATTGCAGTATGGTATTTTTCATCCACTTGAGGTGTCAGGTTGCATTTTTAACCTTACACCTAATCAAACTTTCAGTCCTGCAGGCTGTGCAGAGACAGGTTTCCTGCTGCGTTAATAGTCTGTTCCTTGAAACTAGTTTGAAATTAATAGCAGCAAGGTACTTTACTGTTTCCAAAAGGCTCTGTCTCTTAGTGGACAGAGTCTTCTTTTTAATACAAGGAGATCTGTTATTAGAGCTTTTTCAAAAGATTAAATTTTTACCTAGGATTCATCTGTATTGCTGATTTGATCTGATCCTTACCAGCTGGGCCTTCACAATGTGCCATAAGGGAGTGTTAAAAACTTGCTCAATGTAAAACTTGTCTGTTGTTTATTTAGGGAGAGGCATCTTTGGTAGTCACCCTTCCGCTCACTGTTGTTCGGCTTGCATTCAGCAAGCAAAATATGACTCTTTGCTCTTGTCTTGTATTTGTTTGTTTTAGGTGAAACTTCCTTTTCCTGTTGATCAAATCACAGATCTTCCAAGGAATGATTTCCAGATGATGATAAAGATGCACAAGCTAACCTCAGAGCAGCTCGAGTTCATCCACGACGTCCGCCGGCGCAGCAAGAACCGAATTGCAGCTCAGCGCTGCCGCAAGAGGAAACTGGACTGTATTCAGAACCTAGAATGTGAAATCCGCAAGTTGGTGAGTTGTGTGCTCTCGCTGTGGCCCCACTCACCCTTGCACCGCAGCTTGCAGGGCACTGACAGCAATTTCTGTCCAGAGTTTAGTGAGTTCAGTCAGTTTGTACATAAGTAAGCAGAGCCACTAATATGAAAATTGAATTTACAAAAATATATTAATATATGTATATATATAATATATCTAGAAAACACAAAATTCCAGTGGAATGAGACATAGATATCTCTTTATTTTGATATCTCAAGAGCAGATTGTTGACTGAGTTAGAAGAGGAGAGAAGCGTATATCACAACTCCCTTCTTGCAGTTTAACTTATCCACAGTACTTACAGTGCATCCACAAATGCATTTTCTCATCCAAGCCCCATTTCCATGCCTAACTACCATAACAGTCCACTGGTCAGAGATTCGTGGAGTGCTTAAAACAGGTAGGTACAAAGAGACCTTCAGAGGTTGTCTGGTCCAAACAATGGTGTGGCAGGGCCAGTTTCTTCCCTACAGAGAGATTTTCCTTCTCTTTGGTGTGCCAGAAGGCAGCTCAGCGTTTTCAGGATGTTTTGGCTCACTATGCCTTTTCTTCAGCTCTTTCGTTGACTGAGCAAATGGCAGAAATGGCAAGGCAAGTGAAAAGCCAGAAGTGTGAGTATCCAGTCAAGTGGCCATCCCTTGGTGCAGGTCTATAAGATGACAGGTTCCTCCTTGCTCCTGCTGTCATCTTCACTCTAACACTTCTGATGTGCCATGGACTGAACACCCCCCGTCATGAATCAAGGACCACTTAACACAAAAGGCCTGTTCCCACTCCACAGTGCACTGGCCTTCACATCCCATGCACTGAGTTCAGGTGACAACGGTTAGTTTGCCCCAACCCTCCTTGACATGTGTCTCTGGCAGTAGTCTGCTGTGGAGAGGAGAGCAAAGCATGCCCTACTCACTGGCCAGAGCACAGCTGCCGATGGGTCTCCTGTGTGCCAAGGTGTCAGTGGACAGTGCTACCACATTTTTATCTAAAGCAGTGAGGTGACTGGAGCAAGGCTAAATGGCTGCTCAGGAAATTCCTCTGTCTTTCAGTCATGCTATGGACTCATACCATGAGTCCATGTGCGGTTTGGGTGACTAAACACAGATGTCTACAGTATGGAGACCTGTGCTGGAGCTAGTTGTACTGGTTGCCTTTATAGTCAGTGAGAAGAAGGAGATACCTGTCAAGTCCCATTTGTCTCATCCTGCAGCTGAGGTGACACACAGCCCAGAAGTGCCTGTTTCTCTCCATCACTAAACAAGATCACGTGGGGAGCCATGTCAGATGTAAACATCTTAGCTATAGGCACCTTATCTGCAAAAACTCCTCTCCTTTGTGACAGTGCCCCTGTGGTCTGAGGGCCCTGCTTCTCTTCCCCTGCCATCCCTTGCCCATTGAGAAAGCAAGCTGGTACACAATGAAAAAATGGCTTGAGTAAAGGGTCAGGGAGGAAGACATGTCTGCAGGGTGTCACTCAGCCAGAGAAATGCAACACTGGAACTTCAAAATGGGCTAGCACCTCCTCATCTGTTTAAAAGTCCCAAAAGTTTTCTGAGACATCAAAAATAATGTAATAGTCCCAGTTCAGCTGGTATAAGAAGTGTGGGTGTGCAGCGTGCAGGACTGGACAGTTTAATTGTATTATGCATCATAGATTTAGGAATCTAGCATTAAACCCAGTCTTGGAATATCCAGGGGTTTGAGTGATAAATTAATTCATGCACCTAGATTAAACAAAAGGAGCAGAAGTTGATTTCCTTACTGAGATCTCTGTGTACCTAGCTTCAATTAAAATTAAAGGTCATTTGGAGTCTTTGATTTAAATGTCTGTGCACATTTAAAACATGCTGTTGAACTTAGCAGGTCTGGAAAGCGGGGTACTTCTTGTTCTTGTCATAACAGGTTGAGTGTTGAAAGTGGCCTTTAGTGTAGGCTTCATTGTGCGTCGTTCTCTGCTCAGGCTGTAGCAAACGTAGCGTGAAAGAGACAGGGATCTGTTGGAAGAAGCTGAGTTACTGTCACCTCACAAATGGCAGAAAGCCGCATGACTTTGGGTTACTCACTTACTGCCTGTGCCTGTCTGCTTCCCATCTGTAACAGGGAGGTGACACTGACCCCACAAGCTGGTTGGGAGGCTTAAATCATCAAGACTTGCAAAGCCTGTGCTGCTGAAGCCCTGGGGAAAAAAAAAAAAAAAAAAAAAAAAAAAAAAAAAAACCAGAAATCAAAACATTGTTCAGAGTGCTCCACTGATGCAAAACAAATAAAACATCAAAGATAAACAAAATAGTGAGCAACTGCTTCCTGCACCAAGTATAATCTACAGGACATGGGGGGTGAGTCAGAGGTTCTGCAGGGTGGAAGAGCAGCTCCTCTTTCAGGTTGTCAGGAGAAGCAGGTTCAGTGTTGGCTGCACGTGCCCATCCCTCTACACTGATCTGGTGATGGGAGGAATACATGTCTGGTTCTCCAGAGCAGAGCACCAGGAGCAGCACTCTAAGGGCTAGACTAGCTGCGAGGGGGGATTCAGCTTGATACCTATAGCCTGCACTTGAAAATTAATTTGGGTTCATTGGCTTTACTCATTCTTGTGACATTACCATTATTGTCTAACATAATCAACTGTGTATAGGGAAAATAATTTTTTTAAATCCCCTTCTGTCCCCAGCACACACGCACATCTCAGGGAAATGAATGAAACATATGAGTGACCTTGCAGGCCTGATCCCTGATGTATTTCAGGAATCAAAACCCCTTTGAGGTTCAGGATTCTTCAAAAGAAATGTTGAAGTCTCTATTTAGCAAGCTGAGCTTAAGTAAGTAGCAATATGTAGTGAGTGAGACAACTAGGGAGGGTGCCCTGCTGGACCTGTTGTTGGTGAACAGAGAAGGACTTGTGGGTGATGTGATGGTTGGAGACCGTCTTGGACATAGCAATCACAAAATTACAGAGTTTTCGATTCTTGGAGAAGGGGAGTGGGGGGGAGTCAGTAAAGCTGCTACCCTGGACTTCAAGAGGGCAGACTGTGGCTTGTTTAGGAGCCTGGTTGACAGGGTCCCTTGAGAGGCAGTTCTGAATGGCAGAGGAATCCAGGAAGACTGGACATTCTTCAAGAAGGAAATATTAAAGGGGCAGGAGCAGAACATCCCCATGTGCTGAAGCAGGAGCTGGTGGGGAAGAAGACCGGCCTGGCTGAACAGAACTTTGCCTGGAACTCAGGAAAAAAAGGAGAGTTTATGATCTTTGGGAGAAGGGGCAAACAGCTCAGGAGGATTACAAGGATGTCATGAAGTTTTGCAAGGAGAAAATTAGAAGGGCAAAAGCCCAACTGGAACTTAATCTGGCTACTGCTGTAAAAGGCAATAAAAAATGTTTTTATAAATACACTGGCACCAAAAGGAGGGCTAAGGAGAATCTCCATCCTTTACTGGATGTGAGCGGAAACATAGTGACAAAGGATGAAGAAAAGGCTCAAGTACTCAATGCTTTTTTTGCCTCAGTCCTTAATAGTAAGACTAGTTGTTCTCTGGGTATCCAGCCCCCTAAGCTGGAAGTCAGGGACGGGGAGCAGAATGAAGCCCCTGTAATCCAAGGGGAAATGGTTAGTGACCTGCTATACTACTTAGACACACACAAGTCTATGGGGCAGATGGGATCCACCCAAGGGTACTGAGGGAGCTGACAGAAGTGCTCATCAAGCCACTTTTCCATCATTTATCAGCAGCTCTGGCTAAATGGGGAGGTCCCCATTGACTGGAGGTTAGCAAATGTGATGCTCATCTACAGGAAGGGCTGGAAGGAGGATCTGGGGAACTACAGTCCTGTCAGTCTGACCTCAGTGCCAGGGAAGGTTACGGAACGGATCATCCTGAGCACCATCGCATAGCACATGCAGGACAAACAGGTGATCAGGCCCAGTCAGCATGGGTTCATGAAAGGCAGATCCTGCTTGTCTAACCTGATCTCCTTCTATGACAAGATGACCTGCATAGTGGATGAGGGAAAGGAGATTGTCAACCTAGACTTCAGTAAAGCCTTTGACACCACTTGCCACAGCATTCTTCTGAAGAAACTGGCTGTTCTTGGATTGGATGGGTGTATTCTTCACTGGGTTAAAAACTGGCTGGCTGGCCGGGCTTGGAGAGTTGTGGTGAATGGAGTTAAATCCAGTTGGTGGCCAGTCACAAGTGGTGTTCCCCAGGGCTCAGCACTGGGGCCAGTTCTCTTTCATATGTTTGTCAGTGATCTGGATGAGGGGATCAGGTGCACCTGAATATGAGGCAGCCGTGTGCCCAGGTGGCCAAGAAGGCCAACAGCATCCTGGCCTGTATCAGAAATGGTGTGGCCAGCAGGACCAGGGAAGTGATCGCACCCCTGTACTCAGCGCTGGTGAGGCTGCACCTCGAACACTGTGTTCTGTTCTGGGCCTCTCACTACAGGAAAGACACTGAGGTGCTGAAGTGTGTCCAAAGAAGAGCAACAAAGCTGGTGAAGGGTCTAGAGCACAGGTCTTATGGGGAGCAGCTGAGGGACCTGGGGTTGTTTAGCCTGGAGAACAGGAGGCTGAGGGGAGACCTTACCGCTCTTTACAGCTACCTGCAAGGGGGCTGCAGCGAGGGGGGTGTTGGTCTGTTCTCCCAGATTGAATGTTAGAAAAAATTTCTTCACCGAAAGGGTTATTGGAACAGGCTGCCCAAGGAAGTGGTGGAGTCACCATCCCTGCATGTATTTAAAAAATGTGTAGACGTGTGCTTAGGGGCATGGCTTAGTGTGGACTTGGCAGTGCTAGGTTAACAGTTGGACTCAAAGATCTTAAAGGTCTTTTCTAACCTAAACAATTCTGTGGGATCAGGTGCCTAATTCTGAAAAAAGGACATTTGTAAAAAAGGCAGTCACAAGGTGTACAAGAGCATAAAGTTACAAAATTAAACTCATGCAACTTTAACTTTGCCTTTCAAGCACTCCTGCCCTCCCCCCATATGCATGCTGTCCAAGAAGGTAGTCTGCTTCAGGATCTTACTTTTACTCTTAGGAGAACCATCAGTGAAACTTGAGTTGACTTCACACAGTACATGAGCACTGGAAATTCCTTTGTCATCTTCTGTCCACTTCATGACCAGTAATTTCCAGTCTCCTGAATTATGTAATGGTACTAGAGTTTAAGGGTTTTTCACTCAGCTGGGGTTTTTTTATGAAAGACCCCTTTCTCCCCCTGCAGTAACTTCCTGTAAGTCACCCATCTTGACACAGATGGTTTCACAGCAGACAGTGAGTGAAATGGTTGTATCCTCCGCGTTTGATAGGTAATTTTTTTTTGCCTGCTTTCCCTCACTCATCCATCTACCCACTCACATTCCCTTTTTTCCCTGCAAACTCACAGCATATTCTCTTCCATAATTCATTATCTCAAGATGTACTTGAGCATCTGTTTATTTTTTTATTATTTTTATGCTTTCTTGATAGATTTGTCAATATTTTAGCAGTTGGTTCTTTTCATGTGCACTGCTCTCTTTCTCATTCACACAGCTGTATGTTTCCAGTCCGGGCTTTGGACCCAGGACAATACTATCAGCTGTCAACAACCACCCATAGTTGGATTATCTGACTTGTGGAGTTTTCACACTTCAGATGCCAAGGCAGCTTGGGTTTATCAGTGTTACTAGGTGAGATATATGGCTGCGCTGCTTTAGGGGCCAGCTCAGATCTGGAAATAGCTCTGGTATTCTGCAAAACCTCATCTACTCCCTTAAGCTGCATGCAGCAGGACCATCCCAATCAGTCTGCACTGAGTCAACGCCAGTTTTCAGAAGTGAAACCCCAGGCTGGGTCTGGCACTGTGCCTAACCCCCCACCCCGAGTCTGCCTCCTGAGCACGGGGAGGGCAGCACTCACCCCACGGGGGGCTTGCCAGCCATGTGTGGTCTAAGCTGGAGATGACTCCCCCCACAGCACATCGCACAGCACCCTGCGCTGGTTAGGGCTGGGGGCCTTACCAGTGGTTTGTTGGGTGCAGAACAACCTGAGCTCGTTTTCCCAGATTGAGAGTCCTGCATGAAAAAAGTAAGCCCCACCAGACTCTCTCGCTTGTCCTCCTCACCAGTACTGTCTGCCTCTCACCTGCCCCCCTCCTAGAGCAGCCCGCTGACACAGTGAAACTGAAAACGCTCGAGCTAAATGTTGGTAGGGGAGGACATTTGGGAGCCCAGGAGGCAGAGCCTGAGCAAAGGCGAAATGACATTGAGCTTCTTGTACTGAGTGTTAAGAATTCCACCAACCTTCAGGGTTTTCACGTTCGCCTTCATGAAAATATCTTGATGGGGTCAAACCCAAAACATTAAGCATCAGGACATAAGAAAGCGAACCGTGGTGCAGGCCACAGAGCACACATTCAGATCCTCTCCTCTGAATAACACACCTCTCGGGGGTAACAGTGGTTCAGCTGCCACAGGGGCCAGGGCGGGGGCACCCAGCTTGACTGACCGACCCGGCAGTTAAAGAGTGAACTGAACTTCTGTGGCATATACTCACCTTCAGGAACTGAACCCTGTTTTCTTGCTGTTTAGATGGGTTATGGCTTTTCTCCATCAAAATGTTTGAAAACTTTCAGAGTTTTTTTGTATCATCCACCAAGCAGCTTCAGTCTATAAAGGGAACCAACAGTCTCTTGGGAGTAACTTGTGACTCTATCCTCTTCCAACTCAAATGTTTTTCTCCAGATGTTTCCCAGACTGCAGCGCACACAGACCTCATGGTGGTCAAATACCTGATGTCTTTGTGACTTTTCCTCTGCCCATATAAAAATAACTGGGAACCCGTTGGTGTTCTTCTTGAGTATTGCTGCGTAAGTGCCCAGAGTGTGAAGCTGGCAGATGGCCCTTCCTCAACCTAAGACGCCTTCTTTCTTTTTCAGGTGTGTGAGAAAGAGAAATTGCTCTCAGAAAGGAACCAGCTGAAAGCAAGCATGGGAGAATTGTTAGACAACTTCTCATGTCTTTCCCAAGAAGTGTGTAGAGACATGCAGAGCCCGGAACAGATCCAAGCTCTCCACCGATACTGCCCCGTTCTCAGACCCATGGATCTCCAGCCAGCCACCTCCATCAGCCCCTCCCCAGCTGGCGTGGAGCAGAGCCTGGTGACCTCCCAGTGCGTCGGGGAAAGCATGCAGTGCTGCTCAGAGCAAGGCTCGTTGCAACTGGGAGCGCCCTGGCTGCCCAACAACATCTCAGAAAATTGTTCGGCCGGCGGGGGGTTGGAAGGAGCCGACACAGGTACTTACCCCGAGAGAGAGCTTCCACCAGAGCAGAGCAGCCAAACGGTCACGGTAGACTTCTGTCAGGAAATGACTGATAAATGTACAACAGATGAACAACCTAGGAAAGATTACACCTAGTGACTTGTAACCTTAACGTTACACCTGGTCAGGTGTTCTTCAGTCAGCCAGTGGCAGTGTTCATTTGTTGTCTAGAAGAACGTTATTTGGTGCACACTACAGTGGTCTTAGCAGCAATACTGTTTTTAAGTATTCCCTCCTCTCTACAAGCAGGAGTTCTCTTCACAATGGTGCTATCCCTTGCTCAGGCAGGGAACGAAGCAGTGGCAACACTGTCTGTTTTTGTATGTTGATTTCAATCTTAACAGGGATGGACATAACACCTCTGAGGACCCAACCGCAGCTTTTTTCTCAGTGGCCCATGTCACAAAACCCTAACTCAGGAATTTCCTCTGAATGTTCAATTTTTCATTGAAGACAGCTTCTTTACACATCAAAGTTTTATAGCTAAACTGTACATATTATATATAATATATATAAAATATATATATCCATATGCAAAAGTCCCTGCATGCCTCAATTTTTCTCATCCTACAAACTGGAAGCTTTCATTTCTATTGTATAAACAAGTTCCAACATTCCTTTTTGTCTTCAATGCTAGAACTAGTTTGGTAACTTGTTACACAATAATTTTTTTTCCTCAGTTCGCAGTTCAGCAATATCATTCGATTTGTACTTATTTATAAAATTTTAATGTTGGAAACTTATTTGAGATTTTATTATAGACAATTTTTTTGGCACAGCCATTTTGTGCCAATTGAGCAATGTGGAGTTATTTTATTTTCTTGCAGATACTGTACAGTAATGGTCAACTTTGCCACTTGCACTGAGTTTCTGGTCAAACCTCTTTTCATAAATGAAGTCGTGACTTCAGTATAACTTGAGTATATGGTTTTCTTTGCTTTATGGCTTAAAGAAAATAGGAAAGTTTTAGCTAATAGACAAACACTCAGGAGCTCATTATGTAGTAAAAACGGTCTTGCCAAATACTGAATTCACTATACAATTTGTAAAGAGAATCTGCTTGAATTATTTTTATATTCAGACTTCTTTCTGTTTCACAAACCAAGTTTAAGTGCTGTTAATGATGCTTTTGGATTCTTATAGGGGAAAGTACATTTCACTCTTTAGAGAAAAAAGTATTTGACAACTGGATCAGTTCATCATACGTTCCACGAAGTAAAGCAAATGGAGATCACATCAATACACTTGGGGGGGGGGGGGCTTTTTCTCCAGCCCTACTCTGCATCCTTTACTCATGGAAGGAAGCAACTGCTGCTCCGGCTAGTCCCCAGAGCCTCACCTCAGCTGTCCTCAGACATTACCTGTTTTCCTCACCAGACCCGAGCTGCAGAGGTGGGTCTGGTGAAGTCAGTGATCCTGCCTGGGTAGGCGGAGTTGCAGGATCAGACCCCTAGTTGTTGACTTTGGTTTCCTTACAGAAGTCAAGTTAGCACTGTATCCTCTAAGAGCAAAACATACATCTGCCAACACCCGATTCGGTCGCTTACCCGTCAAATTCTTGTGTTCCAGGATCCTCTCAGCACAAACCGCAGCTAAAAGAGCGCTGTCTCGAAGGAGACTACTCAGTGAATTGGTTTAGTTGTAACTGTATTGGATTTGTATCTTAAGCAATGTTGACTCATGTTATGACTGTGTGAGACAGCAGCTTTCCAAGCATAACATCTGTATGTACAGTGTAGACAGAAAAACACCCTCCTAATGCTTTTTTCAATAATTATTATTCTAAGTGTACTGAGTTTTTATTTTGTGGTTCTTTACCCTACGTGTGCCAGGTTGCGTGGCTTTATCGATGACAACTGTCATGTGCTTTACTGGCTGATATTGTTTGTTCTCGCTGAAAAAAATGACCAGCTATTCACACCTATTTAAAAAAAAAAAAAAAAAAAAAAAAAAAAAAAGTGTGGGGAAGCAGCTTTTCAGAAGCACTAAGCGATAATGTGGTCTTCTGCGCTAACGTTTACACTAGAGGTGTGCGCTGGTGGTTTTTTGAGGCACTCAGTAGATCAGCATCTTGACCCTGGAGGAGGAATCAGCTCCCTCTCTCCTCTTCTTCCATCTGCAGACTGTGCTCATGGACCGTCGCCTACTCGCCACAAAGTCTTGCTTTTATCCTCTTCACCCAAACTATTGTAGCCAAGCTACCGAGGAGGAAATGCATATAGCATGTGCCATGTTTGTTGAAAATACGTTTTTTTCCCCGCATGTACAAAGAAAAACTAGTATATAATGTAGGAGAATATTTATGTTTAAGTATTAATCATTACTGTACAAAATCCTTACCTTTAAATGTTCAAAAATATACAAATGCCATAAACTCCTAGTTCGCACGGTTGAAAAAGGGGGAGGAGTCATCCTTTCTTTTTAAAAGAGCTTAACCTAAAAATATCTGAACCCCCTCCCAGCCATCTTTTGCAGGTAACTGACTGAGAGGCTCTTTGGCAGGGAGGGCGGGATTTGATTTTCCTTTGAATTCGTTGACGTTGCAAAGCAGTTCTGTGCTTCGCAGAGAAGTTTTGTTTCTATGAGACCATGGTGAAAGTTAGAATTTAAAACTAAATGTGAATCACATTATAGAGTCATAGCTACTTGGGGGGGCTGGGGGTGGGTGGGAGGGAAGGGTCAACTGACACAGTATTTTAAAGATGTTTTTCTGTTGCCTTTTTTATTTTTAAGTGACCTCCTATATATATGAATAGATAGAATGTTTTATGAGTATAAAACCAAGTTTTAACTTGCTTCCTGACATGAAGATTTACTCTACTAACAACTCATGTGCAACTGGTACTCTTGACCTCATTCCAACGGTTTAAAAAACCCACCCACACAACCCATTGCGCTGCAGCTCTTAGGTTTGACCTGGCTTCATACTGGTGCTGGGTCTCTTGATTTCCTCTACCTTGGGAACGGATATCTAAAACCACTGCTCAAATAAGTGTCTCTTCCTCAACCTTTCTCTCGTCTCTCTCTTTCCCTTCCCCACAAGCTTTTCTAGATGTTTGATTTCATTCTTTACCATTAGAAGTGGCTGATTTTGTGTCATGGCTTCCTATATTTACATGTATCATGGTTTTTCAGTGGGGTTTTTTTGGTGGTGGTAGTGGTGGTTGTTTTTTGTTTCTATTTTGTTTTGAGTTTTTTTTGCTATTCCAAACCACGCTGCTCTCGAAGTGATTACAGGGCTGACGTTAAAGGAAGACGTGGGGAGAATTAGTTTCAGACCTGGACGCCAGTTGACGTACCCAGCCATTCTTGTCTCATGAGGTCAAAACAACTGACCACAAGAATACCATTGGAAAAACAAACAAACAAACAAACAAACAAAAAAAAAAAAAAAAAAAAAACCAAACAAAAAAACAAAAACGCAAAACAAAGCAAAGTGATTGCAATATTTATAAATTTTAAGAGTTTGGCCAGTGGTCAGCATGATCTGAAGTAAGAATCTCTTTGCTTTTGTCCAAGAGGATACATGCAGCGTTGGTCCTGTGGGGCATTGCTTGGGAGTGGCGTGGTGAGGCCCCGTCTCCCCACTGGGCACTGCACCGCTCTCGTGGGCGTGCGAGTCCTTGAAGCTTTGTCCAGTCTGTATCTAGTGCTCCTTTTCCGTTGCCATTGCTATACTTGTATCACCAGGAAACCTCATTTCATTTAGGCTTGTTACGCTTTGTCAGGTGAGTACTACACTATATAATGTGTTTGTTTCTCTGCGTTCTCTGGGGGTGCCTTGAACACAATTAAAGCTCATTGCAAGCTGATTCTGGAACAAAAAGGTAGCGGAAAAAAAAAAAAAAAAAAGAAAAAGAAAAAAAAAAAGAGAGAAAACAAAACAGAAAACAAGCAAAACAAAAGCAAAAATGTTGGCTGTGTTATCAGAAGATCCCAGTATTTATATCACAGACTTCCTAACGTGATGACTCAGGCGTCAGAGTTTGATGCTGCAGTATAAAAATATTATTTTATATATTGTACAAGTAATTTATTAAATGTCTTTCTAAGGGTATATGCTGCTTTTAAGATGCACTATATTTTTTGGATCTAATCCTTATATTATTTTTTTTTCCCAAGGAAGTAAAATGTGCTGCAAAGGCAAGCCACAGTGATTAGTATGCTAACTGCTACTTCTCTTTAAAAAGGAGAGTGGGAACTAGATACCTAACTTTGCTAAATGGATTAACTGCTGCCAGAGAAATGATTAATGCTGATAGTGTGGTCGTTAATCTGGAATCCAACACTTCCTCAAGTATGTATTCTAAAGAACGCTTAAATAGGAGTTAAAATGCCTAGATATATAGTTAGATTTTTTAATATGTAACTCTATGATTGCCTAATAAGTAAAACAAATCTGCATGCTGGAATCACTATAATCCTGTAATAAAACTAAATCTGATCCACTAGGAGAACGCATGGTGAAGCGTTGCAATCCCAGAATCAACACCACATCCTCACTTGTGTTTTGTAATCCACTGCTGTGGTGGTGAAGAGAGGGAGAGGGGTGGATTTGCAGAATAGAAGGCCTGTAGTGAATTTTGCAGTGAGACAAAGTGAACATTTGCCGGGTTTCCACAAGCTCACATTTTGCTCCACTTCATGTCCTCTACCATTGCAACAAGGAGTGGTGCTTTCACCTTTTTTTTTCTCATCTGAGATGCATTTGGAGGTGCCTCCGGGTGAACGTTGTAGCCCGTGGCTGCAGCATTTTAAAATTCTCTATTTTAGGGCTGCCTAGAGAAGGTTTATCTCAGTATGAGCAGCAGAGCTGATGGCCTTGCATAAGGAGGGGATCTGCTAAGTATGGAGCGGTTTATTTTTATCGGAAGTGAGGTGAAACTAAAACTATTAACATAAAGAACTTATGCTCTCTTTCCTGCTAGAAATTTTCTCAACAGATTTTGACTTCGTTTCAGTTTTGTCGCTGCCAACACAGTCCAAGTTAATTTTACATCCATATATAATGCATGTGTGTATGTATGTATACATACATCTATAATTCTAGTCAGAGTGTGTGTTTGTGTATTTTCCTGTTTATAATACATATATGTATATTTATAATACTCCCTGGAGTATTTAATGACTCAGGCATCAGATCTGATGCTGTAGAATACAATATATGTGTATATGCATATGTTCAAATACTGTGTGTATATTTAAAAGATCTATTGTTGGTGGTCTGTAGAATAATTATTCCTTTTATTCTCAAAATTTTAATGGCATTACTTGCAAAGACTAAGTGTACAGTATTTTCCTACACTCCACCAAGATAGGTATTATTTATATCGAAGTCAAATATTGATACGCATTTTAAGGTGTTACGCAGATAACGTTGCCATTTTTGCAAATAAAATTGCTTTTTGGCAGGAAGGAACGCTCAGAATACCTTTTCATAAGGTCATTACCCTAACCAAATGACTGCTAAAAAGCCAGTTAGATGGCTCCTGTTCTCGTACAAATTTTAGTGACTGTGGGCAGAGCCCTTTCCGTAGGTGAAAGTCACTGCACGGTTCGTGCAGTGCCGCTGTTGTCCCTTTTGGCTAACTAAGGGCATGCAGAAAGAAACTAGCCTCCTGAAATAGAAATGGCAACTGGCAGTGTTTGATGTCACTGATCGCTTAGAAGCAGAGATGGTCCCAGGCTCACGAACCCAAATGACCCCTCCGTTTTGGAGGGGGCCGAGCGGGGTCTGCAATCACCGGCTGGGCTCGTCCCTGCAACCAGAGGAGCCCACCCTCGGGGACGTGGGCAGAGGAGGGAGCAGCTACCCCACGCCGGGGGTTGTGACGGGGATCCCCCGCCCAGGCCGGCGTTACCCTGCACTTGGGACGTACCCGAGAGAAACGTGCATGGTTTCAGTCCTGTTCTCACTACTACGTTTGCTCTGCCTGAAGCTATCTGGATCCCTCAGACCAGCAGGAATGATACTAAACACTTTGGTGATATTCAATGCGTGGTTGTTTACTCCTAGTTCCAAGCATCACCTTTGATTTCAAGGGTGGGGATGCCCTAAGAGTTTGTTCCAGAACCAGTTGGTTACAAGTGCACCTCTTATATATGCCTTACAAACTTCAGAGGCCATATTCAAAACAGGGTTTTATCAGTGTATGCAAGGGGGTGCAACCCCTCTTCTCTTCCTCCCCAGGTCAAACAGTATGGACAGTTTTCACACATATCTACCTGTATAACCCTCTGTACCTCTCATAACTGGTCAATGACTGTAACAGGTTACATCAGGTGTTTTTTCTACATACTTTTTACACAAATTCTATGCGATTAATGTAACTTAATTCAATGCATCATTTTATTGTACTAGTTCTTAAGCTTGTCTTTATTTTTTTTCTAGGTGACTGTGGTTTCTTGTGATTTTTATTGTATAAATAAATGAGGTGGCTGTTGATGCTTACTCTCTGTTACTAAGAATTTTTACCTTTTTGGAAGAAAGCATTGCTATGAACTAATGAATTTAAAACATCATTTACTCATTGTAAATACAGTATTGTGCAAAAAACAAAAATGGAAAAAAAAAAAAAAAAAACCCGACCCTTTTCATTCATTTGAATTGCTAGTGTTAACTGAATTTTGTCTAGACACCATTTCTGTTGATGAAATAAAGACATATCATTATGTATTGTAAATCGACTCATCTTGACTCTGAAATTGGTGTTGCAGTCCTCAGTTAACGCGCGGGTCATAGGTGAGATTCGGGAGGGTGGGGAGATGTGGTTGATACTGCCCAGTGAATCTCTGGACTCCCACAGTCCCATTGCTAATTCACTAGTCATCTCTGATCCAGGGATCCAGTTATCTTTGATCTGCTGCAGAAACAGCCAAGGGTATTTCATTGCAAAGATTAAATAAGTTGTTTTGGAAGATCAAATAATCTGTAGCTATATCTATTCCCCTAGTGCTTAACTTAAGGCAATTCTGCTAAGTCTTTGTTTTGGTCTTCTGAAGTGTCAGTGTATGTGTGGGAAGGCAAGGGGAGAGCTTGTGGTTTGTTTCCCCTTTACAATAAAACAGAAATTGAGAGAGGTTTATGTAGAAACAAAATAGAGCTGAAAACCTGTGACCCAAATACAGTAGTGTTCCTTTCTGAAGGAGTAGTTTGTGCCATGGACCATTAACATCACTTACGCTGCAGAAGATCCAGAAAGGAAAGAAGAAATTCTAACAGCCTTAGGTGCCGTTGCCACAAGTGGGGCGCAGGGTCTGGCAGGGGACTCTTGCTCTCTGGGCCTTCCAAATGCATGACAGCCACCTCTCCGTGGCTGTCTGCAACCTGAGAGCCTGATCAGCAGCTTGGCAGGAGGAGACCTGGGGAGGGGGGAGTGGTATGACCAGTGGTCCTACACTGGTCCACACGCTTGCTGGGATGCTGCTGTGGGGAATGGGGAGGAGGACCAGCTGCTAGAGAGAGGTTCCCAGGCTTATTTGTCAACGGTCAGGAAACCCTAGATCGTGTGCCCTGGGCCACCGTCCTTAGGGATGCAAACTGTGTCCTCCTCCATCTGCAGCAGTGAAAGTTGCCTGTGATTTTTTTCAGACTTAAAATTCACATGGAAGAAAAATCAAACATGTTACTTTCCAGAGTTCCCCAGGTTTCTGAGTCTTCCTGTTGAGCGTATATGAAGAAAGCTTCCCACCCCCTCAAATCTGTCAGAAGATGTAGCATCCACCACATCTACACATAGCCTGGCAGTAGAGAATGTACTTTAGCAAAGCTGTTTCTCCATCCCTGATCTGTTGTTGCTGACACTTAATGGCCACCATCTTAAGTATTTCCTTTTTTTGCCTTCAAATACTAAACAAATGCACAGGCAAACAGTTGGTGAGTTTGTAGTGAGGCAGAATATGAATGTAAATCGTGTACTAGAACAAAACCACTGTAATCTCAAGCAGTCTTTATGCTTGACTCCTTTTTCCTGCTGTCCTGATTTCTGCTAGCCTTGCCTTAGAGTCGTAGAGGATTTTTATGCTTACGGAAACTGGCATAGCAAATGAGCTTCTCCCAAGCATCACTTGCCATCGAGGCAATAGCAAATGTGAGATATGATAAGCTTGACAAATAAAAGCAGCCAGAAGCATGTGGCCAGAAACAGGGTCAGGGACAGTCAAAGGAAGGTGTTTTATTTTCCAGATACACAAGTGGAAGGACTGCTTTCTTGGGCTGCATACAACACAGGAAAGTAACCCTTCAGAGCTAGTTCTGTCCTAGCAAACTGAAAATGAGCTCTTTTTGGCTTTGCTTGTCTTTCAGCTCCTCTATATGAACCAATAAGACAGTAAAGGGAATAAGGTTTTCATGACCATGAGGTGATACCTTGCAGATCTTCTTGAATAGCAAACTGAAGAAAAGGACAGACGTTTTGCACTTAAACTGTCCAGTTTTACTTCATTTCAATTTTGAAGCCAAAAGGATTAGCTACAAGGAGGCTACATTAGCATGGAAAGTCTCTATCAGAGTTTGAGGACTGCATTAGCACATGTAGGTGAGCAGCAGCATATTCTTCAGATGGTTTTTAATCTCTCTTAAATTCTCTGTGCCTTCAGATTCCTTGAATGTTTTTTCCATCTTTTATTCATGATCTGCTGAAGCCTGGGGAGATAGAGGCCACATAGCCTTCCAGGTTACTTTCAAATCAAACCAACACTTTCTTGTAGGTGCCTTGGGTCTTCTGCTCCCTTGAAGGTCTATGGATCACGCTGGTTTCTGGTATGAACACTACTAGCATGCACAACAAGTTGTACATCCCAAAATGTTCTCCCAAAGACACAAGGCTGTTTCTGCAGCAGCAACATGCACTGACCAGATCCGGCTCAGTCTACATGAGAAAAATCTTGAGTGGTGGAGCAAACTACCCATTAACACCAGCTGTACAGTTGGGATTGGTGTAAAATGGAGGAATAAAGTGTTTGGTTTCTTTAACTGTATTATGGGATTAACATTATAGCAGCAGGAGAAGGAAACATAGCAACAGATAATCTGCTTTTTATCTCTCTGCTGAAGGCAGTTTGTGCTCAATCCCATAGTTTATTTCTTCTCAGAATGTCATTACTTTTTCATGATTGATGATAGTTCTAGGAGCATGCTCTGAAAAAATAACAAGAAAGCATGAAGCTGAATTGGCTTAAATAAGAAAAATAAATGTTACCATAGTAATTAACACCAACACTTATATAGTTGGGAAGGTGGGAATCTGGTGTTTAGCTGACAACATACCTTGTAGAACTTTGCTCGATGCTAAGGGGGTAGTGGGGAGAGGGGGAACACCTTGCTTTTAAACCAAAATAAACACATTAATCCCGGAATTAACTTGCTTGAAATCAATGGACCCATCCTAGAGCCCTTGCTTTGCATCTTAAGGGGGTTTGTATATTTTTGATTGCTTTAAAACTATACAAAGGTAGACTCAATTAAGCGAGGTCCACCTTCTAAAATCTTATCTGTTTGTTGCTGCACAAATCCTCAGAGGGGTTCATTAGTTGTCAACTGCTGCTGACTCCCAAAGTTCATATGTGCTTGTGCAACTGGTGAATGGGTACCTTTGGGTGACCAAGTAGCTTTTGCAGGATAATTGGTACACTGGCTGTCATTACCATGAGCTTCTCTTGGATGTTCCAGGGCAGAATAAAATACAAATACTGTGGATTTTTTTTTTTTTTTTTAGAGGTGTTTGCATAGAAAAACTGTACAAAAACAGCAGTAGTTCCCAGCAGGGGTAAATGTGAATACCTTTAAGGGTTCTTAAACATCCTAGAGGAACACATGGTTTTACCAGTCCCTTGCCCAACCTGTAGATTTTGCTGGTGGAGCTCAGCTGTCTAACTCACTCCTCCACAGATATCAGGTTTGTTATTTCAGTCTACATGCACTCATATCAAACTGCTCCCAGCCCCAGGGGCAAGATCGGGTGAGCAGCTAGTTAAATGAGTGGCTATTTATTCCTTGAGTGTTGTTGAAAGGGTGAGTAAACATGCCTTGTTCAGGAGAAGACTGCAAATACTCAGGCTGAATAGCAGCGCTCTCTTTCATATCCTGCTCACTATGGAGTATTTTCCCACTGCATAAAAGGCTCAAAGGTGGATAGAGAACTGAGGCGTAGAGAAAGAACTGAACAGCACAGAGGAACAAAAAAGCAATGCATTGACAGAAACTGGACCCAGTGAACTGTAAAATTTCCCCAATTTCAGCAGAGCCAGGATTTCAGCCCCAGAGACTTTTTCTGCAAATGAATGAAATCAGCAGCCCTATCTTAGTCCCATTCTGTGAACTGAGAGTATCAGCTTTACCAGCTGCTTCATTATCAGCTTTATCCTGCTCCTTCATCATGAGAAGGGGGTCTTGCTTTTAAAGATACATTGATTACTTTGTAATCAAAAATACAGACTGAGAGAAATGACACTCTGAAAGCACAGGGCTCTCTGGAGGAGAGGGTGGTCTAAAGAATCAGGAATGGACATGAGAGTGAGGAAAACTCAGCACTTCCTCAGAAACAAAAATCTGAAGTTGAGTCCCTAAAATGCCCAATTCTTTCTGAAAATCTTGATCTAGAAGTATTGATTTCCCAGGAGAACAGTTCAGCTAAAATATAGCTAAGAATATTACAAATCTTCTAATGGCTTCCAATTTTCTTTTGTGATTCCAGGACCTTATCTTGGCTCAGTGAAGAAACACAACCATTAGATAATGTCACATTTCCCCATCTTCTTGGTGTATCCTTGGGTACTCTAGCAAGAGGACTAGCACAGTAGTTCTCTCAATGCAGGTTTAGGCTTGTGGTGCAAATGTGATAACCTGGTTTCAAGTCATCTGCAAAATGGTGCCTTTGTGAGAAGAGTTGCCAATCCAGTGTAGATACTCCCAATCCCAGTTAACTAAATTAAAACTCACAGGTTTTAGAAAACACCTTATGATTCTTTAGAAAACTGCTATATATAGGCCCCAAAGAAGTGATCCCGGGCATGCTTAGGTAGCATGTAGCTTTAGAAAGGCAGAAAGAAACACATCCAGCAAAAGACTTCAAGTGCAGCTAGCAGAAACATCACATAACCTCCAGCCTTTTTAGAAATGTTTCCATTCAGCTGTTGAATTGTGATGACACTGTGACACTCTGAAGATGCAATGCCAAGCTGTGGCCATAATCAGCCGAGCTTTCTGATGTTCTCCAAACATTCCTTTGGTTTGTAGAAAATGGGCGAGGAGGAAGACTGCCTGATTCTGGCAAAGGGTGACTTTGGAAGTAAAGATGTCTCCCTCTAATTCTTCAGTTGGAGTGCTCAGCTCTCTTATTTTCGTTCCCCCAGAGAGAAAAATAGATGTGTTTGATAGTCCTAATGGCTTCATACAGTCTTGCACGCATGAGACAGTGAGACAACGCCCCTTAGTGCAATGCTCTGAGAACTAGATGCCTATTATAGGCTGTAAATCCTGGCCCTGCTTATTTCCAAGAGATCACAGATTGTATCTGTACTAGTCATATACTGACCTTTGACTGCATCAGCTTATCAATTGTATCTGACTTAAAAATGTATGCTAAAAATCATGTTGGATTTTTTTTCTCATAATATCATTCACGTGCAGAATCCTATTGACACCAGACACCATTCCTACACACCTTTGTGAATCCAACTCCCAGTTCTCATTTGTGACTGTAGTTATAATAAATTCAGTGCAGCTCTCCTCACCAAGTTGTGAGTGAAAAGCAGCCATGTAAGGCCTGCTTGCCTAAGGGAGGCTGGCAGCCCAGGACCATGCAGAAGGTGCCCATTTGCTCCATAGCTGTATATCCCCTTAAATAAAAGTTAAAATGTAGTAAGAGTTGTAAAACTTAGAACAGAACTATGTGTGTACCCATGATATCTCTTAGAAGATAAGACACCATATATTCTCTAACATGTGTCCTCTAAGCCTTGGAGCTTTAGAAACTTTGGAAATTATTAGCTTGGAGACAGTTATTGGTGAACAAATTGTTCACTATAATTTCAAAGAATGCTGACTGCTTTCCTCAGTACCAAGGTTTTGGGGTTTTGGAGATTTGCAGATAACCTGATGAATTCCCTTGTCAGTGCAGAGTTTTATAACACTACTTATCCCAGGTCTCCATCAAGGTGAGATTAGCTCACCCGTGTAGTTGGTGATGCTCTTCTCACTGTGTTCAGGTGGATTAAAATCAGTTGGAAACTACCATCATGTCATGCAGTGATTCTCTTCCTATGCTTTGCTGTGTTCTTTCCTTGATGCAATGAAGGTCCAGTTTTGGTGGTCTGTCCTCAGAACCTAACAGATCTAAAGTTTGACCAGCAGTGGCTGAAGGAAAAGATACTTTTTGACAATGGATCAGAGTCTCTTTAGAAGCCTTTAGCCTAATAAGTTTTTCAAGGTTTATGCCTCTTATTTTTGCTTCCCAATCTGAACAATGAATGCCTTTGGACAGTGCAATAACCAAGAAACTGAATAGAGCATGAAGAGTGAGTGGTTTGGGTGTAAAACTAAACAGTTGGAGCGTAAATATTTTCTCTGGGTTTTATGCCACAGTTGGACATGAAGTTAAGAAATGGCTCTTCACCTCCACCAATTCCAAATGAAGAAGTTTTAAATAGCCCTGTTAGTTTGCATTGTGGCCAAACATGGTTGGTCTGTACAAATCCTACCAATGGGAAGGGCATTTCTTCTTTTATATATATATATATATATATATATATATATATATATATATATATATATATATATATATATATATATATATAGCCGGTCTGGTTTGAACTGAAGTCTGAAAAGTTGAGGAATCCTCATGGCAAACATGCATTTTCTGTTCAATATCCTATTGAGTTGTTTTGTGAGAGCTTTCAGTGAAGGATTGAATGTATTCTCATTTAAGGGTTCAAAGTAACCTTCCCTCCAAAGAGGAAGTCGTAAGAAGAATTTCCTGTTCTCTCTGAGGGATGCAGTTTTGTACTTCCTTGAAAAAAAATTCACTTGATCATGACCTGGCCAACTACTATCCACCACCTAGTCTTCATGATTTGATCAAGGGGGTGCAATACATTATGAGAGGTGACTGTTACAACATTTAGTTGTCCCTAATAATAATTATTTGTCTGTTAGAGACTCAAGTTTTGTGTGGAAATGGCATTGATAATATTACTTAAAAACCCCTCATCACTGGTTAGAAGTCAAGCATCCATAACTGTACTAATAGAAATGTTCCGTGCTTTCAGTGTCATGACTCACAGGATACAGTTGACTTGTATGCAGATTCTAGCAGTATCCGATGGCTCGGTTTTGGGCAGCTTTGAGTTTTTCTTTCAGCTAAGGAAGCTATGGTGGTTGTGAGCAGCTGAAGTCGTCCTGCTGTCTTACAACAGAACATGGGCATGTGTTTGATTGGAGGTTGCTAAAATGGTTGTTAAGGTATAGAAAGTGATACTTTCAATGTTGAGTTGATACTCCTCTCTCATTGAGCTAATGCAAACAGTGCTACAGACAATTTCTGGCAGAATGGTACAAATGAAGGCAAAAAGAAAACATTTGAACCAGTGTGGAACTAAAGATGATAGTCTAGGAAAGTTATCAAAGAAAATGGAAGAACAATGTCAATTCCACTATGGTTTTGCTCTGTTTGGTTATCGAGCTTAGATTAGTAAAATCCAGGTTAGAATAAACTATATTTTGGCTGTTTACAAAATGTTTGTGCATGTGGGTTCATTGTTATGTTAAAAAGTATCTGTCCTTTCTCTGCTTTACTGTTGCAAGTCACTATTAATCAGGCATGTGGATAATATTTTTTTGTGTACATCAGTTGGAATTTTTTAAATACAATTCCTTTTAAGTACTGTTTTTGGGGGTTTTTTGGTTTTTTGTTTTTGTTTTTGTTTTTGTTTTTTTTTTTTAGGCAGGATTACAGATTTTTGAATGTTCCTGTCACACAGATAAATCTAGTCATACACATTTTTCTTTTAACTAAATATTAGTACATGGTGATTGTCTCCTGGAAGTTAAATTAAAACAAATCAAACAATGCTGAGTGCCTTTGACAATCAAAATTAAATAGTGAATACAGGCAAGCTTTAATGCCCAGATTCAACATTTCTATGATGCACCAGCATATTTATATATTGAAATTTGTATTCATAAAATGCCACAGCAATGCTAGCAGTAAAGTACATTGGCCAAAATCTTGATTCAGTTGTATATAGAAGCACATTTACTTTAATATATCATGTCCTGTAAACAGGAAGCAACTGGTAGCATACTTACATGAGTCACATTTTAAAATGCTAGTACCAGTCCCATACACAATGATCCCCAAAGACAGCATGCCAGAAGGGTGTTGCTGTCAAGTGTAATGACATTGCTTTGCAAACTGACTAAATTTCTCTGCAAGATCTCCCCTGGAAGATAGTGTCATTGTCATTAAAGAGTAGAAGCTGCCCTGCACCTTCTGTGAGTTCTCAATGGGGTGCTACTGAAATTCTGTCTTGCTTGAGTAACTTTTTGCATTTCACCTTTTTAAAGAGCCTTCTCATCTGAGTGATCAAAACCCAGCAGATTGAAAGATTGGGCTCTAGGCCCTCTCCCCATATTAGAAACATCAAAGTGGAAAGTGGTTAAGTTGCATCTAAGTGACAATTTAACATCGCTTATGCTGACTATATATACTGTAGGAACTATAACTCCATGAAAACTGGAACCTACAAACAGCTTTTTGATGAGCAATGAGTGACTTCTGTTTCTTACCACAAAAGATTTGAACTGGTTTGTTTTTTTGTTTTGTATTGAGGAAAAGTATTTATTTTTAAGAGGAGTGAGAAAAGGTTGAACAAAATCTATAACTCTGAGTATTGTGTGAAGTAATCTTCTATTTACTACGTGCCCTATAAAAAAGGATTTAAGGGCTTACTCCTGCAAGCATTTGTAAAGGAGCTGTTTTGCTCTCAGAGAACAAATCCTGTAATTGGGGCAATCAGAATTCAAATTACTTTTAAAAAGCCCTCATTGGTTCTTGAATGCAAGCACTGCATCTTATCAACACTGACTGTAAGCAAGCTTAGAGTGTGTGGCCGAAGAATAAGAACAGCTGCAGAAAAAGCAGTTCTGTACTGTTTGGCTCTGGCATTGCAGTTATTTAGTGGTTTATATGTAGGTCTTTTGGTTTATTCATTGAGCAATTATTCAACTCAGCGGTTGCCGCTGGGAGAACCCCCCTGAATATGAAAGAAGTCGAGCCGTTGAACTCAACGCGCTCCAGACTTCTCTTCCTTACAGTGTCAAGCAGGCTGGAGCTGAACAACTTTCCCCTAGGACAGTCCTTATCGAGTCGACTGCGATGATGCAATGAGCATAAAGGCACCGAGATTCGGTGAGTTAGAGACCCACAGGACTCAATCATTTCCTAGTGATGTTTTCACCTTCGCTGTCGAAGGGCACCGAGTGCGCGGGAGCTCGGCTTGACATGGGAAGGGGCGAGGCGTTAGGGCTGTGGCGGAAGCCCTGCTCAAGCCTCCCTTCCCCCTCCCTAAGTTGCCCCCGTACTCCCCGGCGCCGCGACAGGCAGCCGGGAGCCCCAGCCCCTCCCGGGACCCCACGGCCACGGGGCGCTACTTGCCATCGACATGCGGCGTGCCGTGGCGGCCGGCGGCGGCAGGCTGCCGGGAGAACTGCCCTCCTGGCGGCGCCTCCCCTCCGAGCCGGAGCCGGGACCGGAGCCGGGACCGGAGCCGGAGCCGGAGCGGGGAGCGGGTCCGGAGCCGCCGCGGGAGGCGGCGCTCCCGCTGTCGCTGCCCGCCCGGCTGCCGGTGAGGACGCGGGAGAGGAAGCTGGACTTGCGGGTGCCCGGGCAGTGCCCGCTGTCGGGGGAGTCGCCGCGCTCCTCAGCGCGGTCGCGACAGACGCTGACGCGGCTGTGCCGGCGGGGCACCCGGCGGGCGCCGGCCGCGCCCCGCCCCGCCCCCGCGGCCCACGGCGCCTCCTCGCTGCTGGAGGAGCGCGGCGGCGGCGGCGGCTGTCCGTGGTGCTGAACCGCGCCGTGCCGGCGGCGGGGCGGCGGGGCGCCGCGGAGCTCTCCGCGGTGCTGACGGCCCGGAGGCCCCGCCGGAGCGTGGGGCGGCGGCGGCGGCGGCGGCGGCGGCGGCGGCGGGGGGGCGGCGGGGAGCGGCGGGGCGGTGTCGCCGGCCGGGCAGGCCGGCAGCACCACGGAGCTCTTCTTGGAGTTGTAGAGGCTGGTCTCCTCCTCGGAGGGGCCCGCCGGCCGCCGCGGCCGCCCGTAGAGGGTCTTCTGGATCTTCTTGAGGCCCAGGTGGGCGATTTCTAGGATGTTGAGGAACAGGGAGACCGCGGAGATGCTGTTCATGAAAACCATAAAGATGGTCTTCTCTGTGGGTCGGGACACAAAACAGTCCACCGTGTTAGGGCAAGGGGGCCTTGTGCATTTGTAAAGGGGGGACATGTGAAACCCATATAAAAGATACTGACCTATCATAAAGCCCACCTCCACCACTGACCGGGTCAGGATATGTAGGACATAGGTGCGCAGCAGGGACCCTCTCAGGGGTGCTTTATTCACTTTCTTCTGTTCCTCCAGTTTACGCAGCTCCCTCTCCACTCTCCTGTGTTCCTCGGGCATGGGCTCCAGGCCTTCTAGCTGAGCCCGCAGGTGGGCTTTCTTCTTCTGTCGCTCTTTCTCAAGAGCCCTTAATCTGTAGAGCGCATGGCCCATGTAAACTAGCGACGGAGAAGAAACAAATACAATCTGCAGTACCCAGTATCTGATCAAAGAGATGGGGAAGGCTTTGTCATAACAGATATTGCTGCAGCCAGGTTGCTCTGTGTTGCAGATGAATTCGGACTGCTCATCATCCCAGACATCTTCGGCAGCCACTCCCAGCACCAGCATCCGGAATATGAACAGGATTGTGAGCCAGATTTTGCCAACTATGGTGGAGTGGATGTGCACTTCTTCAAGAATGCTGCCCAACAGGTTCCAGTCCCCCATGGTCAGAAGTTCATATCTGAAATTTAAAAAACAAACAAACAAACAAAGAAGTTATTTTAATACAATACTGGATTTCTTTTGGAAATTGCCTTTTTTAGTTGGTTGGGGTTTTTTATTTTGTTTTGGTTGGGGTTTTTTTGTTTGTTTCTTTGTTTTTTGTTGTTGTTGGGTTTTGGTTTTTTGTTTTTTTTTTTTTGTTTGTTTGTTTTTGTTTTTGTTTTTGTTTTTTTTTAAATGATGATCTTTTATATACATTCTTCTGATAGCAAGAGAGCTCTTCTTGGAAGTTCATCAGTATTTTCTACTTAATGGGTCTTTAAATGAAGGCAGACTTTATGATTACTGGTAAAAGATGCAAATGTGAGATTATTTTAAGATTAAGAGAGATTGATTTCAGCTTCAAGCCACAGTACTTCTTAACTGCCTACAGTTTTACACTATTTTCTTCCCACTAGGAAAGAAGACAAATTTTTTTCACTTTGCAAATCCTTTGCCAATTTGTAGTTCAGTTCTACACCCACTCCATTTCACTGTCTGTGGCTGTGCCATAGTTTGGGGTGAAAAGCAACTAGAATAATTTATAACACTCATGACTTTCATTTACTTGATAAAATTGTGAGAAGCCTCCTATAACTCTGACAGGAAAATGTTTCATTTTGTACCCCAAGGTAGCAGCATTATTAGTGCCATCCATCCACTATTTTCCCATCTATCAGAGTAGATCCCAAGTTTCTCCCTTGAATTCCTAAAGCTACAAATACACACCTGATTTACATATAGTTCTACATGTATAAATAGTCTTGGTTCTAGGAAAATGTTAATAAATTAAGAGTACGTCTAGGACTAATATCTGTAATTTTATGCATTTAAAGACATACTGAATCACCAAGACTTTGTCTTAATTGTAAATTTCAACATATGAGATAAATAAGAGATTACATAATGGAGTCATGTGGAGGTTTTTAGCTGTCTGTGTGAGATGATCTTTTTAACTACCTCTTTCCCGGAAGCTCTTTGATTCACCAGCAAATTGATCTACGTTCTGTTGCCAGGTGCTTGATTTCAAAGTCGCTTCTCTGGAAACTATTCAGATGCTTCAGGTAATGTGGAGAATTGAAATGTAAGGTATTTGTCTGTTTATTTGTGAATGCACTGCACATTCAGTGCTGTGTTCCTGGAATGCTTTCTGCTAACATGGTAATAAAATATTGAAAGCAACTGGGATCACATCTACCTCTGGGTTTGCACTTAAATATTTTACGCTACTGTACTTTCAAAACTTTTGGAATTCCACTAAATCACAACCTTTAGTAAAGTGTAATTTCTAAGATTTTTTAAGAGGGGATGGTTGCAGTACTCAAAATCCTACACAGTTTTTATTGATAGCACAGCTGGGTGATATCACTATTATCAATATAGCTTGGTAATGGTTTATGATGTGATCCCCCATAGCACAATTCTGCTTGGAGGCTGTATTTATCCACACTGCAATTAAATATTTCCAATTGTAACCAACAGTGCAGTCATTCTCTGCATAGGCATCCTGCAGACTTGATTATCTCTGCAAATTTGAATCTACACTATGAAATTCCCTTTTCACACAGGGAACAGCCTGAGGAAACCTAGCCAGTCAAGCAGTTTCTTAAGTGCTGCAATGCACCTGGAATATCTTTTTTTACCACTCCTTTCCTCCCATGTATATCATTGAAATAAGACACATGAAAAAAAAAGTCAGCAAGAGCTACTGTAGTCTGTTTTCCTCACTTTCTAAAGAACCATGTCAGATCTTTCTTCTGACTTTATATGGATTTTATTCAGAGCAGATATCCAATTGTTGCAATGTCATAGGTTGGGTGGGTGTAAAGATGTTTATATGTTGAAATATTTACTGGAAAATGTTACATCTCGAGCTAACAATGTTGGACCTTTTTTTTTTCCAATCTTGGAAGTGCTGTTACAGAGTAGTTCACCTTCAGTAAAGCCAGTAAAGATTTACATAGAGCAAGAGCCCAAACTCAGGACGCAAACTACAAGTGGGTGACACTTGCTGATTGCTCTGTGTCACTTCCCCTGAAAGGCAACTGAATGATGGCAACACAACAGTTAAACAAAGGAGCTTTGGGTATATTTGCTGCCTTGCAGATGGCTGATCCCTCACTGAAACTGATAGACTCCATAAAAAAGAAATCCAACCTATCAAACAAGTGAGATGCTAAAATGTATATGCAGGAATAAAAGGGAAAGGAGACATGTTTTCATCCTGACGATGAAATGCTAGCATCCCTCCAGCAGTAGGAACTATTATTGACTGTTTTGGAACAGAAAGTGAATGTAACAATTTAGGGTAAGAGAGGACAAAAAGAGAAGTGTAAACATAGCACTCTGGCTCTACAGATGTGTTTGTTTCTTAAGTTGTTTCTACCAGTATTTAAACAACTCTATCCTCACCTTTCCCTTATAACAGCTGAGGGGAGAATAATTGTAGGAGTGGTCTAATTCACTAAATGAGCTTTTTATACCGGGACACTTTCCCTCCAATCTGCACTGGCAGAACCACAGTATAAATATTGACATGGTGAACATCGTGCATAAAGTAAAGAAATTAGTCTAGAGTCAAGAAAGTCAGAGTTTCTAAGAAATCAGCCAAAACTGCTTCACAACCTTGTCATAGCAACGTGCTTACAATTTTTCCATCTTTCCCTTCCCTCGTCTTATTTGAGTTCTGTGTAACATAGTAATTTCAGTTTACTGTAAGAGAGTAATCTCAAATATCAATGATATCGTTATTTCCAGTCCAGTCTACTAGTAGACTAGAAATTCTAGTACCCTAGTGTACTAGCCAACTATACTAGAAATATACCATTTTTAGTATAGATAGTACAAACCTGAGACATTTCTCATTGTACCATCTGACTACCTTTGTGTCTGTCCAAATATTTCTATATTGTTATTTCAAACAATAAGAAAATCATGCATGTAACCAATTAGAACCAGATGGAAACCCCCAATTTCTCTTGGAGAAAGTTTCTTCATTGTTGGTTTTGTTACTTCTTTATTTTAAAGTTCATTTGGTCATTTGCCACTATTCAAATCACTTCTATATTGAATTGGTGCCGGGATTTAATCAGCTGTGATTTGAAAAAGCAAAGTTAAATCTCAAATTTATTGGCAGAAAAAGTTAAATGCTAAGATGCAAATACTCCTAGTTTTAATTCACATTGCTTCAAATCTCACAGGGATCTGCCTGCTCTGTACTGCTCTAGGAAGAATTATTTTTCTGCTGCTTACCTTAGGAGAAAGCTCTTGGTTAGACTATCTTAGAGCATTGCAGAAGGCGCACACAACGCTGCTGATTGCTATAGCTCAGAGACCTTCCTTCGACAGTGCTAGGACATCTTTTTTTTTTTTTTTTTTTTCCCAAGAATCAAAGCATAGATGTGGTACGCTGAGCAGACTTCTCAGTTCTTTGTAGCTGGATGACAAGATCACTCAGTCTAAACTATCCATGCACAGTTTAAAAATCATCAGATGATAGGATGGTGCCTCTAGCCAAAATTATCAAGCAATTATTTTAGTCAGTGGAATCTAACACAGCCATTCCCTCAAGGCTCAATCTGTACAACAATAGTTTGCAATGTACCCTATGCCTTCTTTTAGTTGGTTCTTCAAACATTATGCCTCTACCCAGTTCCCAAATGAAATTTTATTTTGTAAAATAGCTAAATAAGCATCCTTTACAGTATGATAGATTCTTACATTTTCTTTACATTCCATTAGTTTTGCTTTGAATCAATGCCCAAGGATCGATCGGTCATGTCCGATTTCATACTCTGTTGCCTGGTGAGTTAATTTAGGATGTGTTAGACCGAGTCTTTGAAAATGGAGGCCACAGGAACCGAGACTGAAGTCTTCAGTTAGAAACACAGGCTTTCAGCATGGTAATCCTTCTTCAGCTGGGTTAAAAATCCACCTCCAAGCCCATTCAAAATTTATATCTGTGAGAGACAAGGTCTGAAAAAGGAAAGTGAGTTGCCCAACTTGAATTTTTGTGAGAAATCAGGGCCACCAGAGCTGAGGTTCTGATACTAAGAGCTTCTTCTGCCTAGTCCTGCCCAGGCCTAGATTTTATGGAAGTTCCCAATGTCCATTTTTTTTTCTCTCTTGCTCCAGAACTTCTGGTCCTTTTTGTCCATCCTACAAGGTATGTGACTGACTTCCACTTCAGCCTCTTCTCCCTAATCAGTGGCCAGTTCACAAAAGATGCTAGCCCCATCTCTTATTTGGGATTATCTCATATTTATGTACCTTCTCTCTTGCACAAGATGTACTTGTCTTCCTGAAAGTCCTGTTTAAATGTCTTGCCCTGCATCAGGTGGGGTGGTTACAGCATCTTTCCTCTAGCCTCAGTCTAATGCAGCAGATGTACAGTTTATGCATATGTTAGATTATTTTAGGGGCAGTAGCACTACACTTTCCACTCCTGAGAGATGTGTTAATATTCATCCAAACCACTTATACCTCCACAGGGCTTCCTCATCCATACGCTCTCTCTCAAGCCCACGTATGCTCATGTACCTGTCATTGCCAGTTTATTTTCATGCTTCTTTCCAAATTAGATCACCAAGGCCCTAAGGCTTTACCTTCAGTTGTCTCGGAGCTTCAACTCAGGCCTGGGTGCCCTGTGCTGCCTCACCAGAAGGTGTTGTTGACCCAACATCTCCAGCGGCTTCCACAGCTCCCAGGTGTTTCTCAGGAGCACCCTCTTCAGCTCTGCTCACTGTGAAAACTATGAGAACTGGGCAAGAGCTGCAGCACCTGTGATTTATTCATCCCATTGGAGAGTATGCCTTGTTGCTTGCTGCAGAAGCAGCTTGTTCTGGCCCAGTGCATTTCTGTCCCACTTCTTGTCCCCCTCAGCAGGTCACAGCAGCAGAACCACAGGCTGCCTACCTTGCTCTGCCCTCAGAGTAACCTGGTTGAAAGTTTTGGTTTTCTCAGGGGATAAGGGAGGTGACAGTAGGCTCCTTAGGGACAGTGTGCTGTATTTCTGCTTTAGCAGCAGAATAATTGGCATTGTTAAAGGACTGCTCACTCAAGCTTGTTAATGGATCATACAATTATTTGTATGTGGAAGGGAAATGGGGTTGGGGCACGGAGGTGGGGGGAGGAATTGGGCTGAAGGAGTGCAGTGCAGTCCTTTGCATTCAGAGAGGAGCAAGAATCTGCGGTGGCTGAGGACACTCCCTTGCTGTAAGCATCTGCCATAGGTTAAATCAGCTCACACTGTGAATGCTAACAGGCAGCGTGCGTGGAGGTGTGTGGCAGGGGTGGGGAACACCTCAGAGAGATGGGATCTTGGCCAGTGATGCCCATGATGGGCAACTGTGAGCAGCGGCACAGCAGGAACCAGCACGACTTCATGCCTGACTTTCCTGGATCAGAAGAGACCTCCCTGCTGGGAGGCAGAGACCTAGGGACCATAGAGCTGAGGCAGGAGTTGGAGGCAACCAAGTAGGGTAAAAGCTCTGATCTTGCTGGTTCTTCAGTAAACCCCAGTATCCAAATCCAGCATGAGGTGTTTACTCTGTCTTGCCTGTGTGTCTAAATTCTAAGTGGCAGATATTACAAAATAAGTTCTTAAAATAACAGGTCCAAATACACTTTTAATAGCATTTGATATTCTTGTCAGGGATCCACAGATCTGAAAATCAGAAAAGGATTTATGTGGGAACTAATTGTAATTTTCTAACACAGACAGTAGCGTTTCCAACCCAGGGAGGCTGGAACTAGATGATCTTTAAGGTCCCTTCCAACCCAAACCATACTGTGATTCTATGATTTCCTTGTACTTGTTACTATTCTGACATTCAAAACACCTAATATTACAGGGTCAAAACTACTTCAAAGAGCACATGCTTTTTGTCATGTCACCAAACCCATCATAAAACTCTGAAGCCAATGCATGTGGAACAGTGAACTGGACAAGAGGCTGCAGCTGAAGCAATCTAGGTATAGTCATACTGAAATGCCAGCAGGAGACTGCAGAATTTTACCACCTTTAGCCAAAGCCACTCCATGCACAGTGTAACCTGCCTGGCTAGAAACCCCTTGGTTTATTACGAGTCACCTCCTTTGAACTTGCAGATTGTTCCAGTTTACTACAGACGAACATTACCGGTACTAGACTTGCTCCTTCTGGGGCAAGTTGCCTTTCACAGGACGATGAAGGCTGCCTTACATTTACAGTAGGAAAGAAAACAGGCCAGGGACATCTTTGCAGCCCTAAACACTGGCACAGCTCTACCCTGGGATGCCCAGGCCAGGATGCCCACATCCAAACTGCCTACTGAGAATTACCCCTGCTCCATGCTGCTCTCTAAACTGTGTCAAGGATAGCTGCACAGTTTTGGACTGGGCTAATTATCAAAGACCACACTGATTAATTCAATAATATGGACAATTGTAGGTGCCGGTTCGCAGATTCATACCACGGGCCTCTTTGGTTCAACAAGAGATACGCAACATCCTTTCTGTTAAGGTATTTCTCTATTTAATTCCCCATATTATCTCTTGTGACTCAGATGAGGTTGCTTTGGTGGCACATCACAGTACTCTCAAACTCTGATGGGTAAGGATTTGCCAACCATCACTGAAATTTTATCCACCTTTCCTGTCAAAGCCAATTTTGGTCCTGAAACATCTCTTGATTGATTTCATAGATTCTTCCAAAATTCTTAAACCTGTTTCTTGGCTCATTTCATTACTTCTGCCTCCCTTCATGAAATTATTTTGCAGCTGGTTTTAGAGTGAAGACAATTAGCGGAAAGACTTAAAGGAAATAGCTATGGGTTTCTGGGTTGACACCGAAGAGAATCACCATTGTTCCAGTCAACTACTGTATGTAGACAGATAGCTGGCAACAGACTATTCCTTAGAGAGAAGCCCTCAAAATTCAATATCCAATGCTCTATGATTTCACTATTCTGCACATCTCCATAAACTCAATCTCAATTCTCTCTGAATTTCCACTTTGGAAAATTTTCCAATACCATTAAGAGTTTTTAAACAGAATCCCGCACAAATATGTGCGCTGGATAGAAGCAGACCTATTCCTCCATGGCAAACTGGAGTAAGACTCTCAAAGGGCTGTCAGCTACACTCTTCCAGTGAAAAGCCTTGGATACAAAAAGGTCTTTCTCCTTTGTAATGTTCCACTCAACACTAACTCAATGTTTCTAGAAAAAAAGAGGAAGGTTGTAGGTTCTGATTGTGGTTTAAAGGTTTGATGTACTTTATGAAACTGCCCAATTTCTGACCCAGTCATGTCCACTAAGAAATAAGCAGTATCTATTTGGAACAGTAATTGCATCAGAGCAGCAGCTGATTACTTCCATGTTTATTGGCCAGAACATCAACACAGCTACTCACTTATACAAACTAACAGAAGTCAATTTTCATGCTGCTTCACAGCATGTGTAGTTAAGCCATTAGCCAACAGTTCTAGAAAATGTTTTCATTTACCTGAGGTTTCACAAATAAGACTGTAGATTTACATACAGTACATTTTGCCTATGTGTATCAAAATTCTTGTTGGAGAAATAAATTACAAACAATGGTACAAAACCACTCCAAGCCAAGCTTTGTTCAACAAGAACATGTGTGTGAGTTTTACAGTTTTATTTTTTGCATTACTCTTACAGTAAGCAAACTATTTAGTTTATACAAAATAAACCTGGAGTTTTATATAGTTAAAAAAATCATCTTTGGCTAAACAAAGCTCTCTATTTTTATACATATATTTATATATATATTTACACACATCAGATATTTTACATGACCATGTAGGAACCTGTACACTTACTTACAATAGACAGAACATTTAAAAAAGTTTCATAATTTACAAAAAAGGAATACAAGTCAGAACCAAAACAGTCAAACCCCCCCGCCTCCCATTACCTGTACAGATAAGAAAGTAAATAAACACAGACAGGGAATAAACAACTTTGTAATAAAATACTGCCTGCTTTTTTGAGACAGAGAGGAAGCACTTAAGTGGAGAGAAGCTACTTCCTTCAGTGCCTTCAGTACTGTGCACATTTTGATCTCTAAGGATATGGTTAAAAGAATACTCTTAGTGGAGTCTGATTTTTCCACAAACATGAACACTATTCTGCAAACTGACAATTCTGAGAACAGAGTCAGTTAGATTTAAATCTCCAATAAGTAAACAACTGTCACAAATGTTTGTTAAGAACAAGCATGGATAGCTATAACAATCCCCCACTGACATCACTAGGCGTTGCCAGCGTAGCGTGGAAGATGACACTTATCATCAAAAGCAAACATTTTAGAAGCAAGCACTTAAGATGGAAGACTGCCAGAAGTGACAT